ACCTATTCACAGCCAATTGACGACCGGCGTCGGTCTCAAAAAGGTTCGCCAGCATTCGGATAGACAACATGGCATTGTTTACATTCAACGGTGGATCAAATATGCCACTCGCCTGAATCACAGAAACAAGATCTTTTCCATCGTAGTCTGCAGTGGCAACCAGGGGTGTTGCAGCCGCGAGCAAGCGGAGCAGGTCCAAGCCAGGTAGTCTGCTGGTGGCAGGCCACGTGGTTGCAACTCTAAGCAATGACTTCAGCCCAGCGTCCACTACGGGCGATGATTTGAGGGCAACGGAAGACTCCAGCTGACCGCACAGCGAAACTACAGTCTCCAACTCAGGAGGACTGAGGGATAAGTCTTTTGACCCGGAGGATGCGAGCTGGTCATTCAATTCCTGTAGTTTCTTGGCAATGATTTTGAGATTAGCAGTCTTGATGGAGAGATACGTCTTCTGAGGAAGGACCTTAGGGCGTGATTCAGGCAAAGAAGGCGTAGGGGGTGCCGCTGCTGCTGTGGCATCTCCAGGGCGATAACGCCTCTCCTGGCCCCAGGGATCAGCGCCGGTGGGCGCAGGTTCTTGAATAGATTGTCCAAGGGTTGCGCCCTGCGTGTTCTGCACAATGAACTGCGCGACTTGGTCTAGGTAACTCATAGGCAGCTCGTTATCTTGGATGAATTTAGTGGCCGCTTCGTATGGGTTTTGCGAAATATTGTATGGAAGCTTGAGGGAAGGCTTCCCATCCTCGACATCTACGTCGAAGACATAGTCGTAATCTTGTCCCATATATTCGATCTTTCTCCCACTGCTAGCAGCAGAATCAACCACCGTACCAACAGCAATCCATTCTTGCGAAGCAGCGGACCACGTGTGGGCCGTAACGCTGCCATCTGCTTCGCGAATCATTTGCACCTGACCTTCCTTCGTACCGGACTTCTGTTTGAGAAATTCAGGGCCTGGAAGCTTCTCTTTGTTGATCTTGCCGACTTGCTGTTCAGGTATTGCGGATTCCTTGACGGCTTTATCAAACTGTTGAACCACCTCCGGGCTTGCTACTCGCTCTTCATTTCGGCTGAAAATCCGCGTAACACGATCACTGGCACCTGTAACAATATCGCCGGTCTCTTTGCAGGCAGCAACGCCCCATACTGAGATTGCAGGATGGGTAATTGTCTGCACACACTGTGTGCCATTCCATACTCTTACGGTTCGATCTTCTCCGGAACTGACCAGCTCGCCTGTCGGCAAGACATCCAACGAATATACGAAGCTTTCGTGACCAAGAAGCTCAGCAACCAGCTGCCCCTGCAAGGTGAACAGTCGAATGACTCCGTCATTGCTTGCGGAAGCGAAGTGTGCGCCTGAGGGATGTGAAGCAGGAAGCTTACACAGAGCTCTAACGACATCGCGAGAATCCTTAATGCTCTTAACAAGGTCTCCTGATGTATTGAAGATCCGTATAATCTTGTCGGCACAGCCTGGTCAAAGTATGAGCACGTTATATCTTTATCTGGCACATGAAGGGAAGGAGGCGATAGACGCACCGGTAATGATCGTGTTCTTATCATAGGCCAGAACAGCCCAGACACTGCCTTGGTGGCCCTCCATGACCACTTCACATTCCCATTTACCGACTCTCCACAGCCTCGCAGTCGAGTCCCAACTGCCGCTTACCACCCAACCTCCCTCTGCGCACACGTCCAATGCACAGACGTTGTGACCATGGCCCAGGAGCATTGCGTCAGCATTGTCGTCAGCAGTTTTCCCGGGTTGCCTTGCTTCTATTATCGTATCCTGGCCGCCAGAAAGTACAAGACCTTCAGGAAAGTCGGATGTTGGTGGGTAGTAGGCTACAGCGTTGATGAAGGCCGAGCCGTGGGCGGATATGGTGGAATCATAAACAGGCGGCGGGGTAGATACCAGCTTCCACAGCCGAACGGTCGCATCTCGAGAAGCCGAAATTACTACATTTGGATTCGGATAGGCCACGGCGCGAACCTGAAATTGAGAATCAAGACAAGAGTCAGCAGCTGAAAAGCATGGTGATTGCCATTTGCGGTGACCAGAGTCATTGTCGGGGACGTTCTTACATCATCGCCGTGGCCCTCCAAAGAAGCGGAGATCTTGAAGTCAGGCATACATAAAGGCTGCTACGGCAGAGCTCTGTGGGGAGGAGGCAACAAGCAGGGTAGGAAAGAAATTGATGAGAACGTTCTCTTCCAAGGTAAAGAGATCGTAGGATCGATAGTCCTCTTGTTGGTAGGCACTCAGTTCACGGTAACCAACAACAACAGCAGGTGCGGAGAACAGCATGCATCATATCATGTGGGCGGTGAAAGCCAGGTACATGTGACAAGAAGATACTAGAATTGATTTCAGGGGTAAGACTTCACCATCACAGCTTTGGTTAAGCATGATTCATTATTTGATAGATACATTACAGTAGTAATCCTAAAGCTTGTCAAATTAGTCTACAACTGGCAACGGAGCATTTATCATTGGTCACTAGATGTTACTTGCGCATAGTAGAGACGCGGTATATCTGTACTTAGATGAAATACATCCTGTGAGTGAAGAGAACCAGTGGAGAAGGTCAAATACATTTCCCTTTACCTAGAGCTCCATATGAACATCGGTGAGCAAGAGTAAGCCAGACTACATCATGAAACGACATCATGTACGATGCATCTTACTATTTGTCCAGCCCAGAAGTCGAAGGATACACGTCACGTGCCAGTCCTTTTTACTGCTTCCAGTCTAGCGTGAGCAATCGGAGATTTTGAACGAAACTCCGACAATTTGGAGTATCAACGAACGGAGCTATCAGGACAGGAAGACTAACTTGCTCGACTCAGTATCCCTCGAAACTCCTGTCTTGCTTCTTTGGAGTCGGAGTCTTTCCTTTGTTTGCTTCCGTTAGCTGGTCTGATAAAGTACTTAGCTACTTAGCTACTTCTGTGTACGGTTGGGATTACTACTGGGCAACTTTTCATAAGTTTTCTTTCTCTTTTCCGATTGCCTCATCACGATTACCCCGCCAATCTATATTGATGATTTGATGAAATTGACGATTACTTCCCTGTATCATTACCTATATTGATTCTTGACGTCTGTCTGAAGTCTTCTATGACCTGTCAATTCATGCTTTGATCGTTGATAGGCAGTTTCAAGCCTATGTCCAAGCATTGATCACCATCCTCTTCACGGCCGCACCAACCTTGAAAGCAAACAACCAATCACCACTAAGCGAACAGACACAGATTCGATAATATTGGCCATTCAAACATTCAAGATGGCCTCAGGTAAGCTTTCTCAATTCAGAGAGCTTTTCTTCAGCTGTGTGTTGACGATAAATAGATATCCCTAAAGTTGTGCCCTTGACCTGCCATGGACACTCTCGTCCAGTGCCTCATCTGAACTTTTCCTCTCTTGTAGAGGACGATCAGTACTATCTAATTTCTGCTTGCAAAGGTACCTGTTTTCGCCCCAATGTTGCATCGTGGCTAAGCTAAGATTCTCTGATAGACAACAACCCGATGCTCCGGGATGGTATTACTGGTGACTGGTTAGTGGTTGTCGCTTTTATCGTTACCAATTGCTTGACTAAGACTTACCCCTCAGGATTGGCACTTTCCTTGGCCACAAGGGAGCTGTATGGCAAGCTCGTCTTTCGACGGATGCCAACATTGCAGCAACTGCGGCTGCAGATTTCTCCGCGTATGTATTAGCATTCCTCGTACTGCGGAAGCACCAACGGGACTGCTAACACTAATCCACAGGAAGGTGTGGGATACTCATACTGGTGAATGCTTGCACACCCTCCAGCATTCGCACATCTGTCGAGCGGTGGCATTCCCGATTCAATCGTCCCCTCAAATTCTGGCCACCGGAGGCTTCGAGAAAAAGCTACGTATTTTTGATCTGACACGTAGCGGTGGTAGTAACAGTTCATCGCCCACGTCCCCATCAGCCGCAGAGAACGGCAACGGGGCTAGTGCAATCACGAGCTATGAGATTGGGCCTGGCGTGCACGGAGGCACGATCAAGTCCATCGTCTGGAATCAAGACTACAACATCCTCACGACAGCTGCAGAGGATCGGAAAATCCGCTGGTGGGATCTTCGTTCTCGCCACCCTGTCGTCGAGTACGTTGTCGAAGGCACGATAGGTAGCTGCGAGCTCAACACCCTCGCCACTCGACCCAATGACCCCGGTATCCTAACCGTCGCGGCCGGAAAGAGTGTCTACCTCTTCGATGGTGTCACACCCGGGCGGCTTTTGAAGAAGATGGACTTTCGATACGAGGTCGCTAGCGCCGCTGTGAATAATGATACTGGCCGATTGGTCACCGGCAGTGCTGACGATACCTGGGCTCGGGTGTACGATCTACGCACCGAAGAAGAGCTCGGTATGTGCATAGGGACCTTCCATCTTCTAAGACGTATGGCCACGCTAACCTGCAATCTTAGAGGTCCAAAAGGGTCACCACGGCCCAATCTGGTCAGTCAGCTTTTCTCCTGATGGCAAGCTCTACGGCACAGGAAGTGAAGATGGAACAATCAAGCTCTGGAAAGCATGCAGAGAGCCCTATGGGCTGTGGCGGTAGATACAGAGGTTTCTGCGCCTATGGAAAGGTTTCCCAGCCTACAGTGACCCTTGCTCCCACGAGACGAGGTCTGTGTTCAATACTGGCTATCCGTTGACTCATTTGGGTCTCGCGACTCCTATGCTCGCCACGTGTCAAGTTTATAATCTGCATATAAACCGGGGCCTTTCGAACACCTACCTTTACAATGCAGACTTTGAACCGCGGATCGAGATAATGTACCAGTACTGCATGATGCATGCGAAACCAGTTGTCTCATATTACACGCCCAGCGTCAAGGAAAACTGCGCACATGAAGATGTTCCAATCTGGTTGAGTTGAGAAATACAAAGAGCAAGAAAAATCGAATAGAACGCCAAGTCACCCTCCTTATTCCTCCGTAATGTAGGTAACGTCCTATTCAATCATATCAACATCGTCATCACCAGCCACAGCGGACGTAGCTGGGGCAATCTGCTGAGGCTCATCTGGCACAATCTCTTTGTCAGCAGCGCCAGCACCCGCATTTGCGCCTCCCCAGTAATCATCCATCTCCTGATCAAGCTCTTCCTGTGTCTTCTTAGGTCTGGCGTTAGGGTTCCGGCGGCCCTCGCCTCGGTTCCTATCATCTCGCCGCTCCCCTTGCCGTCTGCCATTGGTGGTTCGTCGGACTGGCGATCGCTGTCCCGGCACGTACCGGTCAATGTGCTCCGGGGCCGGCTTCGAAACGTCGCTACGGCGGTAGCCTGCGCCACCGCCAGGGCGACGGCCCCGGCGACGACGTGCTCCGCCTTCGGCATCACCATTCTCACTTCCGGGGCTCAAGCTTCGGGCATCGCGAGGCCGCTCGATGCGATCAAAAAGACTTCCCTTAGGGCGTTCGACATTGTCAAATGGGTTGCGGTCCCGTTTTCCACCGCCGGAGGCGACTAGTGTCAAACGGATAGGCTGCCCTTTAGCATTTGCGCCATCGAATTCCGAGATTGCCGTTCTCGCGTCGTTCGCACGGTTGTAGGTAACGTAGGCAACACCTTCGGAGCGCCCAGCCCGGTCATAGACGAGAGACAGATTTGAGATAGGTCCGATCCGAGTAAACAGATCCTAAACAGAGAACTCATCAGCTAACTGATCAAGCGCCACATGTCATATGCTCTTTGATCGGTTCTTACCTCCAGATCGCTCTCCGTAATGTCGTAGTGAAGGTTCTCAACGCGAATCTTTGCTCCGGTGGACGCGCTGCGTCAGGAGTTAGTCACAGCCACAAAGTCCTTCAGCAGTAAAATTCAAGCCAGACATACCGATCGGGCGAAGGGGAGTAACGGTCACCGCGTGGACGTCGGGGGCCACGAGCAGGGCGGGCTGAAAGAAACCTGTGTTAAAAACAAAAAAGAGGAACGAAAATCCCCCGTGACAATTGCCACGAAGCCAGGTTTAAAACGCACTGTCTCTGTCGTCGTCAAATCTGTCGTGGACCCAATCACTGTAAATGTAACGCTATCAGTAAACGCGGATTCCATATTGTGGGTTTTGCGGGGCCAATTACAGATCTAAGTCGACTCGCTCTTCTCTGTAGGACTGTTGTGACGCAAAAAGAGAGACAAGGTCAGCTGGAAATCTAAATATGCAGTCTGGAAACGGCTCCATCAATCTGCGGCTTCTTTCGCGTGCATTGAGGCCGTGTAAGACAGGACGACAAGACCAACGACAGCTGTACTGATCATGTTGCGATAGGGAGGTTCGAAAGGAGAGGAGGGAGGACCTAGAAGCTCGAAAAGTAGGAGGTCAGCGCAGCTGACCTGGGAGAGTGATGGTTTGTTTTGTCAGACGATATATGGACGGACCTTTTTCACGCCATCACGGCGACGACCTTGACCTTGAGGAGGACGGCGACCTCTATTCTGTTTCTGCTATACAGTTTTTCATATTAGCAAACAAGTGAAGCTTCTTCGGTGCGCGCAAGGTGAGAAAAAAATATAGGAGGCCTTACAGGGCGTTCAGCAATGATCTCATCGAGACTACGGTCCATCTTGGACACGGCGGAAGACCAGGCTATAAAGAGCTAGACGATAGAGGTTGGATAATATGTTAGAAGCAATAGGTGAAAAATGTTCGTAAATTGGTGTGTCTGACGAAAGATTGTTGGTAGTTGTATCAGAAGTTTGAGCTGCGACTGAGACCAGAAATAAGCCTAGGTCATGTGATTCTAAGGTGTATACTCAACGCCCAAAGTTGAGATCTTAACAGTATGGATGAGATCCACCAATAACCCAAGTTAAGGGTGAATTGAGGAATTGTAAGCATCATATAGTCAATAGCAGAAAGGAAAAAACCAGACGATCACGAAATTCGAGGTTCAGAGCGAACTCATTACGCTGATCCTCCTTCTGTGGGAGCGCTGCTTTCAAAGATGTTTCAATCGACGTACAACCAGATGCTAATTTATCGTACGTACACTTTGATCCAAACCTGTTAAACGTCAAAAGGAGAGTACCTAGCAGAAATATTTCTACTCATCAATTACTTTACTTTGACTTGAATGGTGGTATACATGKCAGGAATCGCGTACAGCTCAAACAAGACGAGAAAACGCAGCATGCACTGACGAAGGAGAATAATAATCATGCAAGACAAGAGGTTAGAAACAGAAAAAAATCAATGCTTCATGTCCTGTATGCATGATTGAGACTGTCACTCATCGAAAGACCAAGACCCCTTTTCGCTCCGCCAAACTCCAGTAACAACCCACGAGGAAAAACCAAGTAAAAAGGATTGAAGGCAAAAGTAAAGGCAATCTGAAACGGAAATTGCTGTAGATCCAATTTAGTGGTCGCCGTTGACAGAGGAGCTATCTTTGTTCTTGTTGTTATGCTCCATCATCTTTTCCATGAAGCTAATATAGTCATACTTGGGAAGGTCTCGATCTTCCAGAAGATCTGGACCTTGATGTAGCGGCATTGTCTGAACAAGGTGCTCAATGACTTCATCCGGAATGAGCGAGTGGCGGAGATCGAGCTCTGTGACATAGGGCTGCAAATTGATCAGTTAGCAAGGATTCTCAGCAACTGCTGCGGAACCCCTCAGGCTGTGGAGGTACATACCTTGCCATCCGCAACCTCGCGGAAGCTTTGAAAGACCTGCTCTGCAGTATGCTGATCTTCCGTCACGCTGACCATGAAGTGGATGAACTGCTCAAAGCTGACGCCAGCATTCTGCGCTAGCCTGGCCGGCCCGCAAGTTTCGACGTAGACCTGGTGCATTTCTTCCTCGTCGTATACGAGTCCAAGACTAGCGAGGGCTGCAGAGAACTCGAGCTCGTGAAGTGTATTCGATGAATCACGGTCAAAGTGTCTAAAGACAGATTCGAACTCTTCCAATTGGATCGGGGTCAGGTTGGTCATATTGCGGGCAACTAGCTGGTTCTCGAGGAACGCGAGCTTCTTGGAGATACTTGATTTGACTAAGCTCAGCTCGTAAGAAAGTTCATCTAAGGTATATGTTGTGAAGTCGTTCTCCTCAATATTCGCTTCGACGCACTGTTCGTCAAGTTCCGCAATGGTTTCTAAGAAAGCGTCGAGTGGAGGGAGATTGTCATTGAGTCTCTTGACATGCTCTAATTGGTCCTCTACATCGCCGTCAAGACCAGAAATAGCAAGAGACAAGGTCTTTAGTGTGAGTGCAAAGTCATTAGCCTTGTCCGCGAAGGATCGGCGTAGAGCGTTCTTGATGTCCCGAATGGTCTCGTTGATGAGCTGGCTCCGCTCGTGCTCATCACGAGTCAATAGCTCCCATTCCTGGTCACAGACTTCGAGGCGTAGCTCTTCCGGCGGATCGTACGGACGAAGCCGATAGGTGCTGAGTTTGGTCTTGATATTACCCAGTAAAGCAGCAAGGTCTGATTTCTCGGCGACCCATCGTCGTTTCTCGTTTCTCTTGTATAAGGAGAACTGGCGAGCCTGTTCTTTAGCGTCTTTGTAAGTTCCCTCGAACGATGCATTCTTCCATGCTTCGCGCTGAGCTCTAATTAGACGCAAGAGCTCTTTCATCCTCCGTTCGTATGAGTTCTGCATCTCCCAGGCACCATGCATATTGTTGATGAATTTCTCAACTCGCCGACCCGCATTTTCCACCCTTTCCAGTTGAGAGAAGGCATGGAACCAATAGGCGATATAAGTCATCAGCGACCGTTCGTCAGGTTTTGCAACGTCACAGACGTCATCAACATCCAGCAAATCAGGAATGCCAATCTCATTCGCCGCAATATCGAACGCTAGCTTCATGTTCCCGCGATGATCATTCTTATCCAGGGCGTCGAAATCGATCAGATCCGGTCGGTGGATATCGAGGAGAGCACAGAAAGCAAGACCGTCATTCCAGCTGGTGGAGAAGTCGCGGACTTCTACCTCCTCGTAGCAAGCGGTCTTTCTCTGGCACCACAGCAGAAGACCCTCCTTAGCAGTCATGCCCTCCGCGTTGATGTCGCTGATAGTGAATCTCAAGATAAGCGTCCATATCAGACCCAGAATAATCTTCCGATTACCATCGACGATATCCTCCGCTCCGATATTCGTCATCTGAATCCGCCTCCCCCTGATGAAGTCAAGACTCTTGTTGACATTTTCGAATTTTTGCACGCGAAGCTTGGGCTTGGAAGCATAACGGCCGAGTGATTCTCCGCCGAGGATTTCGAGCAGGTGGATGAGGATAACCTAGGAGAGTTGACCGATCAATGTCTGGATTCTCAGACTCGGCTTTCGGGAGGTAGGAGGAGACTCACGCCATCGGAAAGGTCGATTACAAGGTCATCGATCAAGATGCCTCGAACCTTGATCTTGTCATTAAGCCTACGGGGGCAGGAGTTTGTCAGCCAGGGCAGGTTCGACGCCGAAATCGAGCGTTGGGAAGTGGACAGATCGCTATCAAGAAGAAACTATCCAGCGAACGAGGGGCACCACCGTCTCAATCAAACAATAACAAAGGACCAGTGAGGGGGGGAATCGGAGCATATACCAACCATTTAGTAAAAGTTTTCTGCTGTACATTAACCCAGGACTTTTCAACTGTCAACATGATGAGTGATTGAAAGAATCGAGTACATCCAGGGCAGTCGGTTCTATGGAGTTTCTTTTTTCTTCCTTGAGCCTGTCAGTGACACGAACAGACGATAATCAATCAAAAATAGATTGGGGAAGCACCTAACAGTACCTAACCTGTAGGAGGGATACCCGCTCTCCGATAAACTAGCCCGGGATGGAAAGGGCAAGATCTTCACGACAGACCGATTTGAGGGTGGCTGGATTCGGCATCAGATGGAGATCAGAACAGCCTAGATGGGAGCTTTGACTGTGACGTGTGAATCTAAGAGACACAATTGGACAGTCCGTAGTAGACTAGTGACCACTTTCAATTCTCAAGAGTCTGGTGGCTGTAGTTCTCTCGAGCTGCAAGACGGAGGATTATCTACTCCCTATCTTCCTTGGCTGTCAACAAACCATCCCATCGGACCCCACAGCAACCACCATGGTTGAAGACTTCGGCTGCTACCCGGTCGTCCACTCTTCGAGCATTTTCAGGGGTTCTACCTATGAGAAGTTGGTATGCAATTATGCATCATACACTTGAACATTCCACTTGCATCATCTCGAATTCAGTTACGATGAGAAAAAATTGTTCCATCAACGGTATCATGAAGGTTGATCATAGTCCTGCCTTGTATGGCAGCATTCTGGTTTTCACATATCCACTCGGTCTCCCCTAAGGAGACCTCCTCTAAGTACTATCAAGATAGAGTAGAACCAGGACATCTGGAGCCTTGCAGCGCGAGCCTGCTACTCAATTCTTAGACAGTCGTGAAAAATCCACTATTTCCCGGTTTATGAAAGACAAATTGTCCGAGCAATATCTGTATTTCTGAAATCCCTTCAAACATGATGCTATGTTCTGCCCTTTATGGTGAATGACCCAAATATTAATGTCCCATTCCTCCACCATGTGGTCTTCCTGATTGATGCGGTTTACAAAGGTTCGCATAGGTCCAAGTATACGACAACCAGGGCGGAGTCAGGACACCCGATCGACATTCTCGAGTAGCCCAAGGGGTATCAGGGCTTAGGGGTACCTTCTGGAGGACCCAGAAGTGTCTTGTGGAGTTTCATATGTCGAGGCGAAGTGTTTTAAGACAGGAGAAAGACGAGGATAGAGTCACGCCAGGGAGTAATAATACCTATCTGCAAGTAGAAGTCCATACTTCAATTGGCAATAATAAAAACTAAGTAATCACCTGAGAAGCCCAGAGATGATATCATTTGCACCAAGACCAACGGCGGGGCAAGTTGGAGGGGTTGGACACCAACCAGAAGCGCCTACCAAATCTTCGTCTCCCCGCTCCATATCCATGTCATCGAGACTTTCTTCTAGCCAACTTATAAGCTTCAGAAACTGAATATATTTGAGAGCATTTCCTCGGTCACCATCATCAATTGACTCCCGCCAATACACAAACAAAATGTCTTCGAAACTCGCCATCACAGACTTACTGTCTCTTCCCAATTCCGACGTCAAGATCCCCCGCCTTGGGTTCGGTGTCTACCGCTCTCCCGCCGGCCAATGTGTCCAGTCATCACTGAAGGCTCTTGAAGCGGGATACCGACACATTGATACCGCCCAGTTTTATGGCAATGAGAAGGAGGTCGGGGAAGCTCTTCGCAAGTGCGGCATCCCTCGCAGCGACATCTTCGTTACTACAAAAATTCTGAGCCCAGCCGGGTCCCCCGAAGCTACGTACCAGAAGCTACTAGACAGCGTCGAGAAAATTGGCGGTCAGGATGGATACGTGGATTTGTTCCTCATTCATAGCTCAAGCTCCGGTTCGGCCGGCCGGAAAGAGCTCTGGCAGGCCTTGGAGAGGCTTTTGGAGGAAGGCAAGACGAAGAGCATCGGTGTGAGCAACTTTGGGGTAAAGCACATCGAGGAGATGAAGGCATATGCAAAGGTCTGGCCGCCGCACGTAAACCAGATTGAGGTAAGCTCTACAGCCCAGTAGCTCTTTCAAGTAGATTCGTTTATGGCCAGCACCTGAGGTATACTGACATTATGCGCTCTTTAGCTTCATCCCTGGTGCCAACAGCGAGTCATCGATGCATATTGCAAGAGGAACGGCATTGTCGTTGAAGCATATTCCCCGCTCGTGCGAAACTATAAAGCCAATGACCCAACGCTAGTCGGCGTGGCCAAGAAGTACGAAAGGACGACGGCACAAATTCTGATACGTTACGCGCTGCAGAAAGGATGGGTTCCGTTGCCCAAGAGTGATACCCCCGAGCGGATTGTGGCTAATGCCAACGTGTTCAATTTTGAGATTGGTGAGGAGGATATGGCGGTATTGAACGCCCTCGATCAAGGAAGCGCTGGAGCTATCGTGGAGGCCGTCGAAAATGAGTAAATAGAATGATCCTGTATGATATGCAGCGTTCCACGCGCGGATTTAATGATAAGATGCAATCTGTTAGTTTTAATAATCCGGCCGTTCCATCAGAAATGCATTGACCGATTGAAGTGTAGGGCGGGATGGGTTCACATCATGTTTTGATGACACGATCCAGGCAAGACGTTGTCGTATGAATTGCTTGTCCATTGATCGCCTCGCCGGGGATGTTGTGAACGATCCTGAGAACCATTAGAAAAAAGAAGAGGACGAGAAAATGAGGTGGGGAAAAAAGATAGGGAAGGCAAGTGAGTGCAGGGAGGTATGGCATACCATCATCATTGTAGAATAGACATATGATAGCAAGGAGAGCACCAGCAGAGAGATCTTTACCAGTTTCACACGTAACTAGTAGGGATCGTGAGGGATCGGAGGCGAGCTGGGAACTGACAAAAGCTCGAACCTTATCGAGCTCTTGTCTCAAGTCGCGGCTTCCCAGTTTTGACGACCTACATCCAAGATTGAGCCGCTTTTGGTCGCCTTCCGATGCCTCAGGTCTGCCATTGCAATCAATTACGAGGTCATAGAGACCACTGTCGTTGGTACTGGCGTTCGTTTGAGTGATATAAAGATTCCGAGTAGGCGCAATCAATGTGGCTTGGTCAGCAGAATCCTGATCTCGATGCTCTTTCACCAGTTCTTCGACCAGTTCCGGCAAATCCTCCTCGGGCGTCTTCAGGAGAGTCGCTTTGTGGGCCCAGAAGACTGGCGGAGTCAATCCCTGAGCCCAGCCCTCGCTGTCATCACCTGCGCCTTGAATGTAGCCACCCTCTGAAATTTCTGCTCCGTGAACTCGTTTGGACGCAGAACAGAGAACGAAAAGGTTATAGTCGGGTCCTTTGTGCAGATCAGTAGGATAAAAATAAGACCGATTGGCCCATGCCACCCGAATGGGCTTTCCAAGTTGTTGCCTGAGATCATCCAGATCAAGTTTGAGATCCTGGACCTTCAGTCAGTCTAAAGCTGCCGGGCTAAAAAAAAGTATAGTGATGGTAGACTGAAAAGAATACCTTGAGCGATTTTACGAAACCATCAATCCGGCGTTCAATCTGCGATTCTTCCGAGGCGCCTAGATAATTCGGCGGAAGCTGTACTGCATGATATGCAGCATCGGATGGGAAAAGTGCTCGATTCATGACGGCGCACCATATTGGAACAGTCTTAGACAATGCATCGGGCATCACTGCGCCTCGTAAGACCAGGCTGCGAACTGAACAGAAAATTCAAAAAGCAAACTTACATTTACCCCGACGCGTGGAATCGACAATAATACATCTGCAGTGATCATTGGCAGTTTAGTCAACACCAGCCCAAGCTTCAGCGGGAGGCGATAACAATGATAGTTAATGCTCACTCACCCCCCATGTTGCCGAGCAAGCGGTAATATTTGTAGATTCAGTCTACGAAAACTAAAATCCCACTGACCGGTATGGCCGTCCGTGCTCTTGAAATAGGCACTACCAGCTTTGATATCCGGCGAAATGTACCAACTCCCGCATCTTTCGTTGGCAACTAGAGGCAAGTCGTAGTGCTCGGCAACCTCTGCAACGAAGGCAGCATCGGACTCAATTGAACGAAGGCGGTTGGAAATAGACAGCGCTGATCGTCGCAGCGACGACAAAGTCTGAGAAATGGATTGCGCTGCGGAGGGGAAATGAAGGGATGAGACGGACACAGGAAATTGGTCGGAATGACCCCCCGTCTTTTCCGACATTGCCTCTTTTCCTGTGAAGCGAAATGCAGAAAGAATCTTAGAGGGATAAAAAAGGCGTAGGTTTTAGTTAATGACAATAAGCACCAATAATGAGGTTCCCAGGGTAATACTTCAGAATAATAATATAAGAACAAGAAAAACTAAGACACATACCGCATACACGTTATCCCACATCAAAGTGTGGTTTAACAGAGGACGGGTCTAACGGCCTAACCTGATTGATTGTATGGGTAAGTCTCTATGCAAGAATGAGCCAATTAGCATCGAAGGGATTCTTGCCGGGTCAAGAGGCTAGGTAATTCTTTTTGCGCAACTGCTTGAGTGGCTTGTTTCTTCTATATAAACCTACGGCAGAACAATACCTTAATACCTTGGTAGGTATTGATGCATCTCGGATACCTTAGGCTTACCTACTGTTGTGTAGCTAAAGGGCCCAAGTACCTACCTATGTGGTGACCAAGACCGTGTGCTATCCGCCCAACCCGTTGAACGATCAAGTCGAAGGAGACTGCGGGGCATGCAAATTACAATCACAGGCATGGGAAGGCCCGAGTTATTTCGACATGGCCAGACCGAACGCAGTAAAAGCGCAACAGAAGGACAACATATTCAGCTTATTCGTGGATGAGCTTTCCATGAGTGTAACAACCGGCCACACTCTCGTCTTCCTCTCCCAGTGACAGTGTTTGGGTCTTTGACCCTGGGATATCTTGACCGATTTGAGCCCCTCGCATGAAACATATATATTGTGCTGAGGCACCCCAGTCATGCGTCTGCAGATAGAAGCACCGTTAAGATGTATAGTAAATCACAAACTTTGTCATCCCCATCCTTCTTCCGATTGAGTTCATCCCACAGAGGAATACTTTTGCTTGTATGGAGTGGTACAATCTTGAATATCAGATTCCAAGACCGCAGAACTACAAGAAAGCCATCGAAAAGGACGCAAGAAAAAGAGAGGGAAACACTGGGCTGGGAAGACCCACTATGGTAAGCCTGGTAAGCCTGGTAAGCCTGGTAAGCCTGGTAAGCCTGGTAAGCCACAAAAGTCTGAATAGCCTCAGGCGATACTCCATTATATGTGAGGCAACTAAGACTCGATCTATTCGATTTGGGTCAGTGGCTTTCTGTGCCTTTCCATCCACAGAAATCACTAAATTAAATCAAGTTAAGTAGAGGGGAACGAGGAAACTGAGCGTTACTAAAACGAGAATGGCAGCGGGTGCTTGCTGGCGTAGGCCTAGCAGACCGCCTCTAGCGTCTGACCCAGTGAGCAAAGCCCACGATGGCCCCGTCCCTCGGCGCGATCAAGGCTGGCCTCCATATTATTATTCAACACGCTCAGTTGCAGCAGCCGAAGTAACGTCATGGTATGACCTCAGGCATCAGGAACCCCACCAGTCCCGCTCCTGCCCGGATAGTAACATAGTCGTAATTCGAGCTCTGATAGGTGAATACTTTGAAAACAGACATGGTTTTCTGTTGATTTCGTCCCCTTTGGAATCACCGGTGGATTGAATGGGGGTCGTTGCCTTCCCAGCTTAGATTTAACTGTCCTTCAAAAGCTCTTCCCAAAACTACTTAAGGATTGTGGGCAGCCGTTGTTGTTTGCCACTTGCGTCCTACTTGATCCCGGTCCAATCCACTCCCACGATTCGTTCCCTTCCCAACTTACCCAAACAACTTCCATTTTGACTTTCTTCACGGCTACTTTACCCACTTCATCTCACTTCATCTCACCTCAAGCAGACTTCGTGCAAAACCTCAGCTATCCATACATCTTCACACGATTCGATACAACTCTTATAACACAGAATCTCTCAGCTCAGCTGTCACCATGCCTAAGGTCAGTCATGTTGTGCTCTCTACCTCACATGAAGTCATGGATCCCACAGAGCTGCTGACCACGCTACCATTCTGCAGATCACGGGAATCTTCTTCGACTGCGACAACACCCTTGTCCTGTCGGAAGAGCTGGCCTTCGAAGCATGCGCGGACCTTGCTAATGAGATTCTTGCGAAGCGCAACATCCCTGATCGCTATACTGGCGGGCAGCTGATCCAGGACTTCGTTGGTCAGAACTTCCGCGGAATGATGATTTCTCTTCAAGCCAAATATAAGTTCGAGATGTCCAAGGAAGAACTTGAGGAGTACGTCATAAAGGAGGAGGACGAGGTCATCGGCAAGCTCAACGAAAAGGCACAGCCTTGCGTTGGGGCCAACGAGCAGCTGGAGAAGATCTACAATTCCAAGAAGTATGACCTTGCTGTCGTCTCCTCCTCCGCCCTGCGCCGTGTCAAAGCCTCCATCAAGAAGGTTGGACAGGACAAATACTTCGATGACGACCTCATCTTCAGCGCTGCTACCTCCCTCCCCAAGCCCACTTCCAAGCCTGATCCTGCTATCTACCTACATGCCCTTGAGGTGTGCAAGAAGAAGCCCGAAGAAGTTGTTGCCATTGAGGACAGCAAGTCTGGCGCTCTGAGTGCCATCCGCGCCGGTATCCCAGTCATTGGTTACGTTGGCAGCTACCCTGGTGATGACAAGAAGATTGAGATGGCCCAGCGTCTCGAGGAACTCGGTGCTAAGGTGATCATGAAGGACTGGAGCGAGTTCGAACAGTGCCTTGAGCAGATCGAAAGAGCTTAAAACTGCTTAGATGTTTTGCATCCAGCTCGATTCTTTTCCCACACGAAGTTATGACAGCAAACGCCCTGGTCGTTAGGGAGCCACTGGAATGGATTCCTTTCGTTGCCTTTTCAGTTTTTATGAGAAGCTTTCTTGCTCAAAGCGGTGGTCAGGATCCCCACTTGCAAGACTGCATCTTTCCTTTCAATGGTACCCGGGCATATGAGCGTAGCTCTTCCGCCATGGGTCTGATCTTCACACTTATTTCGAATACCCCCAAATTTCTGACTCGGCTGGGACTCGTGCATCACACTCGACATTCAAGCATAGACGGGTTTTCATGGACACAAAGAGATGCCTTCTGGTGTATGTAGTCTGGATTTGCACAATAGAGGCTTACTCTCGATTATCTGAGACTTTCAAACTCTTTGCTCCTTTAGAGTCGAATGTGGGCTCTACTGATGGCTCATGTTGTAGAACGTAGTCCCCCTGCACGGACAAGCCCTCGCCTTCGCTTCCGTCCGAGTGACAGGCCAGCTGTAGATAGCATTGTGTAGCGAGAGCCAGTCGCTAATCATTTCACATTGGAGTATTGTCGGCAAAAATACCCATTCAAGGGCAGGTTCTATGGCGCACCACATTCAGATGCCTTTAGATATATTGAAAGTTAAAATCATATGCTAATGCAAGAAGACCCATATGCAGCCCAAGAAGATGCACATTCTGTGACCTATCCAGTAGTAGTCAGCTGAGCTTGAATACGTACCCAGGCATCGAACTCTCCTTCGATAGTTGGTAAAACACATGACTGTGGCCGTACGCTATTAGAGCTATCGCTAACAGTACAGGTCTGCATAGGCTTTGATTCCAACTGCGGGTTGTCTCAACTGGTTTACATTGGAACAAAAGATTGGCAGAAGCAAACTCATGAAGAGAGCTTTTTTGTCTTGGCCAGAAGGACAGCAAGTGCATACTACACTCCAACTCCTGCGAGTTACGTCTACAGGATAGCATGGGTATATAATTGAGATTGTAAATACACTGTTACACTGGACAGAATCTACAGAAGCCTTGTCTGAGCTGTCCCAGCTGATATGCATATTAGACGCAAGGGGGATAGGTCTGGACAGATGCTGCTTGTATCAAGGCAAGACAGAGGGGTATTCATGTGTCAGAACATTGTCAATCATTATCTACTTACCCCGCATTGCATTAGATTTTGTAGCTGGGCCATGGCTCTGTATGTCTAGGGGACTGCTCTCACCGGCTTGTAGCTCTTTTTCTGATGTTAATGGCATCCATCCTTCCCTCCATTGTTGCCCTTCCCAGAGGCGATATTTGCGGGTGAGCCATGAGAAATACAAATGACAGGAATGAACTATGGAGATGCCGCTTTAAACAGTCTTGATGCGTAAGACGAGATGCATATAATTTATTGCAGAGCAAGTCCTAGCACATACGGCCATAGGGCGTGGAAAACAGGGCTTCCCATCCGCTCAGCCGTATTTAAGCCACATATTGTGCATAGCCATTAAAGTGCCCTTGACACCCCTGTCTCTTTAGATAGCAATGTAGACTGCCCTATGGTGAGTGTGGGTGATATAGGTGAAAACTTCGAAGACCAGGGTAAGAAAGGTTAGAACAGGGTGAGAATTACCTTCTCTAAGAGTGAGACTCCATCCACAGCTAATATCAAGGTCCAGGTCTAAGTAAATTAGTCTTACATATCTCGCTCTTTACCCGTAGAAATACCTTAGCCTTCCTATCTATATCTTCACTGATCTAGATATATAAGTCCCCCAACCTCCTCCTTACCTCTGTTTCTTTGTGAGCATGGTTGGACGTCACCATGCTGACACACTGAATAAGAACTGGGCTACGATGACTGGCTATTAAATCCGTCTCATGGCCCTAAGAGATGCCCCTAGGTAGATCCTGATACACTGCGTAGCGCTTGCAGGCTAGTGCCTGCTTTGGTGGACAAATTCTGAGGGTGGCTTACAAAGGTGAGGCCTGGATCAAGCCAGAGGCCGAGGTATCACTCCCATTCTGACTCACCCTGGGCTTGATTGCAATGTCCCTGGAAGATGTAGTGCCGGGTACTGAAAAGATATATTTGGTATTTGAATTGAAGTGAATTAATGTATATTTCTTGCGCTTGAAGACAGATGCATGCTCCGTAGTCCGTTTGCTGAATGGCAGGCCTCTTATAATATGAGATCATATCCTTTTCTAAATGCCTGGTGGCTAGCAAGCAGGTGCACATCCATCCATCTGTTTATTGTGAGGTTGGCAGTGTATCTCTATCTCTACGGGGGTCTGTACACATAGGATCTATCTCTCCTTGCGGTGTTATTACCACATTGAGCGCCCGGATGGTCTAGTGGTGAGTTCACAGAAATTACGCCACCTTAATTTTCCCACTAACAATCTAACCAGGTATGATTCTCGCTTTGGGTGCGAGAGGTCGCGCGTTCGACTCGCGCTTCGGGCCTTATTCTTTTTTCTTTCGTTTTTTGGCTTCCTTCACCAATTCATGATTACTTTCAATACATAATAATTCAAGTTTTGCCACATTGATTGCCCGGATGGTCTAGTGGTGAGTTCACAAAGGTTACGCCACTTTAATTTCTCCACTAACAACTAAATCAGGTATGATTCTCGCTTTGGGTGCGAGAGGTCGCGCGTTCGACTCGCGCTTCGGGCCTTCCTTTTTCTTTTTGCTTTGCTTCGTTCCCAATTCATTTTTAGTCGCAGCAGGAAATGATTTTAAGTTGTTAATGATCTCAGTGTGAAACATCAGAACGAAGACAGACAACTGGACTATGTAATGCTTATTCATTTCTTTCGTAAAACCTCCAATGCCACTCAGAATTCTATTATATATCATTGAGAAGGGAACACAGTGTGGAATGCCATGGCAAAGATTGCAGCCTACGAGCATCCACGGGTGCAATGATAAAAAAAGATTACCTTCTAAAGAGTATCTATAATTTAAGTTACCACCTTCTATCTATCCAACAAATAAATCTCGTGTAGTAAAGCCTATAACTAACAGTATTTTTGCTTAATAAACAGAAGATTCCTGTTACGACACCACAGCCGCAGGGCGTGACGGGCAGAATCTTGAAGTGAGGACAACCAACCAAGTCCTAGTGCCTGAATTCTTATGCGGTACTCTGTACAATTGTGAATTGCTCCAGGAAGCCTATTTCGGCCACTGCATCCCGTGACTGCTACCCACAGGAAACGGACATTGCCAAGATAAGGAGTATCGCATCTACTCTACAATCTACCCTATGGATACTCCAGGAGTAGCAACAGGAGTCATGTTGGAGTCGCGATTAAGGAACTATATAAGCATACTTGTTAATTAACACTGTATCTAGCACCTTTAGTTTAGTCCCTCGCGTTCAATCTAATTACTTCAGTTGAGTACAAGTCCACTAGTCTGATTCGTCAGTTACTCTCTTACTATCAAGTATACATACTCAATAGATCTTGATTCTATTTCTACTGTTATTGTTATTGTGTCATCTTCTGATTGTCCCCAATCCTGATCGGATTGTTGTATTGTGTTGACGATTAGTATACCGGGTCCGTATTCTGGGCAAGTATAAGCCTATACGCCTGTTCCGGTATAGCACTTCGAGTTCCCAAAGAACAGCAGAGACAGATCCCGGGGTGTGACAGTTTCTTCCTATCGTTAGCCTTACCTATTATCAGAAAGACTAGGTGGTCTAGCATCTACATCTAATTTTGCTTTAGCCAAACCCCAAATCTTGGGCGTCACCGGCGCCGTAAGTCTGGTTTCTGCTTTGATCTAGGTCTCCTATAGGGAATTCTTGGGCTTTAAGATTTCTCTAGTCCTAAGGACGGACTGGTTACAGGAGAGACAAGAATACCATAGGGCGAGACTGTACTCTTTTAATAGAAGGCATATAATATGGAGCACGGCGCTCATGTAGTATTTTTCCTAGTTTGTTTATAGTAGTGGGGAGTGAAGGGAAATTCTGAAGACACATGGGTACCTTATAAGCAATAGGTAAGCCCAATATGTCACTATAATAATGAACAAGGGTGAATACAGGTCAAGCTACAGAAGAGATTTTAGTTTCTGGGGTCTGATCTGTAATCTGGTGAATACCTAAAGTATTGGACTGAATGATACCCTATTGATAAGGAGGGTTGCTATTTTCTGTAGTCTATTTCTCTTTTCCCATCCATCACTCCTTCTGCCAATCTGCTACAAAGCACTTCACTTCCTTCATAAGCTTTTCCAGTGTCTGAGTTTCTCAGGAACGATTTACTTTGTGCCAATGCACTTTCGTCATGCAGAGCTGGAAGAAAGTTCGCCTCTTCCGGGATCTCTGGCTGCCGGATCCTGAGCAAGCTTTGTCCAGTCAGGAGCTGATCTATGTCCAGAAGCTCATTCCTCTCATCCAAGGCCTCGAGATGCAATGGAACAAAGAGCTGAAAGAAGCGGATGGTAAGTGCCGTGGCCGTCTAAATAGGTATTTCTCAAGGCTAACCCAAAAGCAGGTCAAATATGCTCACTAGGGTGGAATCTAGATGAAGCTTATGAGCATCTTCAAGAGAATGAAGCTACCTGGTGGAAGGCGCGAGGTGTCATCGACCCAGAGAATACTTGGTTCGCCCGAGTGGCAAGCTGAATGCTCTAGTTGCTTGTCACTTATACAATCCCACATTCTCTGTTGACGACCCCCGTTGCCAAAAGACCGAAGACCTTTCAAATCCCTCAATTGCCCAGCTCCATGAGGCTGGATTTTCGACAAAAGCCAACTGTTTGCTTTTTGATCATCTGGCTCGCAGAGATATCAGCAGACACTGCAAAGATAATTATCCTGAAGATCTCTTCGACATTCATGAACAGTTTGTCTTTGCGCTCCGAGTCGCGATGAAGGCAAGGGTCGAGATCTGCTGGGGTGCCAATGTTCGTCAACGAATGCTCAAGAAGCTTGACCTAAAGCCTTTGCGTCTTTGGGGTGATTTTGCAGGCTTGGTTTTGTATCTGGAGCTGACGCCTGACAAAGCGTCTTTAAGACGTTTTATCATTTTTGTAGCCCACCCCCAGCGCTTTATGTACGTAAAGAGTGACGGTGAGAAGACTCAAGGTTGGCGTCGCCGATTCGGCTCACCACAAGATCAAGCGTTGGCTCTCGCTGCTAGCTTGGGGGGCATCCAAATTCCACCAAACTTTTACGAGCTAGATTCTCGATTGATTCTTGCCTTCTCACCCTTCTCACACTAGGTCGCGCAAAGCGAAAGCAGCGCTCACCTAATTTCTAGGACTAGATAAGTCTATTTTGACACGGTTCAGATACATACGACCATAGGGTGTGGAGAACAGGGCTTCCCGTCCGCTCAGCCGTACTTAAGCCACACGCCGGCCGGTTAGTAGTTGGGTGGGTGACCACCAGCGAATCCCGGCTGTTGTATGTTTTTGTTTTTGCATCTTATTTTCCTTCAGTGATATTTGCGTTGTTGACTATCCTTGCATGCCCTGTATGAAGCCTTTTAAGGCCCCTCTATTATGCACCCGCCAAGCCTGCCTGCTGTCTCCCTATTCATGCCAATTGTCCGTCCTCATTCCAATATCTGATCTGTCTCTGATTCCTAAAGGATCCAATTACCCTCTTGGTTCTCACCGCGCTGCCGTGTACCATTTAGTGTTTTAAATAATCAGAATATCGCGTCTTCCAGGAGTCCAACGTGGAAATTGATAATCAGGCGCTATGTTATGCCGATGGTCGAACGACAACATTATCTCAACACTGAGCAACCGACTGCACAGATATTTACTCTTGATGTCTGACTGCGCAATTGTCCGCAGGCTGAGCAACAGGGTTATTTGAAAGGCTTTGTGTGATTGAGTCCATCATCTGCAGTGTCAAAGCTCTTGTCGATATCAAATATACAGCCGTTAGGGCAGGCATACGTTGCCCTGTGCGTCCGCTGCTACGATGACCATGTCGACCTTCGAAATGAACCGAACGGGAATCTGGAGTAAGGTGGCCTGTTGACTGATCAATTCAGATATCGTCTTCGGCAAGCAACCGAGGCAGTGATATCCACGAAAAGGGCGTCACTGAGTCCGACTTCTCCGCTCAACTGCCCCTGGTTGACAAAAGTTGCGATGTCAGGTTGTCTGACTCTTGATTCACCACTAACTGGATCGAGGGCTATCCTTCTGGAGACTGCGACGCACTTCCTTCCTCGGGATGGAAAGTCACCAAACACTATATAAAGTGATATACTTGCCCTGGATTTCACTGACTATGAAATACTTGTTGGCCAGAATCTCATAATGGTAAGAAAGAGGAGATATACAACGATTATATCAACGGAGAGCTCCCAAGACTTCAACGGATCAACAACAAATAACGGAGAAACGCTATTAAGAGTGCTGGATAACCGAGTACAGAGCTACTCCAGAATTCGAGAAGATGTCCCATCTTCTCCTAGCCACTCGTACTCTTACTGAGATACAGCTCACCTTTTTTGCGGTCAAAATGACTTATTCGCCGGTCACTGAAGGTCGATAGGAACAAAAGTTTGGCGAGCATCCATTAATGGGCAGACCCTAGTGGACAGAGATGGTCTAGAGCTGGTCCAAACTGGAATAAGGAAGAAGGATGTTTATCATTCATGGCTCAGGCATGAGCCTGACCTTGTAAGAAGCGGTCAGCACCACACTGATAGCCCGACAGTAGTACAGCGGAAATGGAATAGGTATTCCCAGAGAGGTGAAGTGGATTTCAGGTCCTGATCAGAGATAGCAATCTGCGGTTGTTTAAAGCACAGTTATTTGAGGCAGTCTGTCTTTCATGCATTGAATGTAGATAAGACCAGGGTTGGCCCTATCTCGATCTGAAAGGGGCTTAGCCTCGGCCCCTCCTTTTTGGCTCAGGGCATACGGGTAGTTTGTCCTTACTCCATACTTTTATACTTCATGCTCCATCGACGTTGAACATAAATAGCTCTAATCACCAGGGGTAAACCTGACCGCTCAAATCACTCATTATAAATCACCATCTTGAGAGATAGGCGATCGGCTCTTCCCTTCTTGATTCCAGTCTAATATAACTGCCTCAACTGGCATTGCTACCTTACGATCACCAAGACCAAAAGATGTCTGGGTCCGACCCCAAGTACGCCAAGTCAAAATTCTTATCACGAGCTCCATTGGTATGCAATTGATGTTTCTGGAGGGGCGTTTAAATGCGGTGTATTGTTCAAACCGCAATGTTCGCGCCAACCTCTTCTATTCAACCGGAATTACGTCGTTGTGGTGAAAAGAACGAAGTATGGGCTGATCTACATGATAGGAAAACAGTAATGCCAAATGGACCAGGTTGGTCCTGACCACGTACACTGATCCAAATGGTGTGGAAAGGACTTGGGAGTCGGCGGAGAGACAGGTAAGTTCGTCTCTTTTACTTGCCCGGTGCGGCTCTTGTAAGGGTATTGGGATGATTATTCCTGCCCATGGTGGACATCCAGGATGGCGCTATGACGCCATGACGCCATGCCACTGCGAGTCTGCATTGTGACTCAGCAGAAGGCGACTGGCTTTTTCCTCCTTACTTGAGCAGCAAGAGATCCTTCGTGGCCGAGGAACCTTGCGTAGTATTACGTGAAGTACTGACTAGGACAGACTCGGCCACCGGGTTGCGATGTTGATGGCGTGGGAATTGTGACTATCATCGATAAGCCAACAGGCCCTGAGTTGTTGCTGCAGAAACAGTACAGGCCGCCTATCGACAAAGTGGTCATTGAAGTTCCAGCCGGCCTTATCGACTCCGGCGAGACCATCGAGGAATGTGCGGTGCGCGAGCTCAGGGAGGAGACAGGCTATGTGGGAGTGGCAGAGCAGACAAGCACTCTCATGTTTAACGGTAAGTGATGCATTGATGACTACACCCAAATTTCCGTGATCAAGGCGGGGCTCGACCCTCCGAGCGTGGTGCAAGACACTGATTGAAGGTATCACAGATCCGGGGATGTGTAACACTAATCTGAATATGGTTCATGTGCGTGTGGATTTGTCGCTTCCTGAAAATCAGGATCCTAAACCGCAACTCGAGGACAATGAGTTTATCGAGTGCTTCACACTGCCCTTGAGTACATTGCTGTCCGAGTTGAAGAGACTCGAAGCCGAGGGATATGCAATCGATGCCCGCGTGGGAACATTAGCAGAGGGCATCGAACTGGCGAAGAAGCTGAAGCTTTGATTGCGCACTTCATTCACGGCCTTGATATATCTGGTTGCGTCCTGCGTATAGACGAGATCGAGGATCCATTCGTGTCGATACATACTTATCCATATTCTACGGAGTAGAGACTGCAGGTGCCAATCTTCCTATCGGCTTTGGCTACAATGCTGAGCCATTGTCAAATCTTTCCATCCTGTTTCAGGCCGTTATATAGTGCCCATGCGGCAAGTGTCTTGCCATCTCGCAATGCCTCTTTCCAAAGGTCTTTCAACGGCACAATCTTCAATGTGATCTTCTCACCATGTTGGCGTAAACCCGTCAGCCGTCCTTGTAGACTCTCGATCTCTTTGCGCGCCATCCTCTTTTGGCACAAAAACAACGGGATAAACTCATCGCTCCCTCCGGGGGACGGATAGACTGCCCTTTGCAGAGACTCTCCGTCCTTTGGCTCCGAAATCGATTGCAGCGCCAGAGAGGTCATATCGACAAGTTCACCTTGGGGTATTGTCAATCCTGTTTCCTCTTCTATCTCTTTCGCGGCAGCTCCGGCGAATGTTCCACTATCGTCAATCATACCAGCTGGGATCTCGGGGAAAGCTAGGGAGCCAGCCGGAATTCGGGGTTGAATGGTCAGAATCGCCCTCTTCTCGTCCTCGTTCGATGACGGCACATCGTCGGGCTGGAGGACCATCTATAACACAAGCATCATGATGGTCAGTTAACAAGATTTCTGTAATCTGATTCGCATCGTATAGAGATGAGATGTTGCCATTCTTACCAACATTCCTACACTGCCACCTCTCAGAAAGACCGTCCCCGGGAGAGTTTCCCCGTTTCCATTGGAAACTTCTGCGTTGAGCTTAACAAACCCCAATCTGCCGCCCTTGAAGTAATCAACAGATTGAACATTGATTTTCCGTAAAACATAGGGGTTGTGGTTGAACTCATGGGATGGATGGTGTTGTCGTTGTAAGGATCGCTGAAGGGTGGAAAGCCAGATCTGAAAGGCTGGAAAACGTAGGAGATCGTCCTTGCTCAAATTGCTCAGGGAGTTGACTGGCACAGACACAGATCTATTGCCTTCTTCCAGAGGAATGGTGAAGCTCGACATTGACCTGATTGTGGCTGATAGTGCGCTGGGATTGGAGAAGCAGGTTGGATGCAGATGCCGCACGGACAGCCACAGCCTGTTCCTCATGAATCGCGTGTGTTGGTCAAAGACTCGTGAGAAGCGAGTCTGCTTACCACAAGAGAAACCGCGTGACCCAAGGAATCTCAAACAGATAACAGACGATCATCACATGAACCGTCTCGCGCCAGGAAACCGTGGGAAAACATTCAAGCAGATGATAGAGTTCGGTGGAGAATGAGAGACAGCGATAAATGACGTCGATGGATTGCTGCGGGAATTACTCCCCGTGCTCGCTTCCACTTGCTCCGTGGGATCTCCTTACGAGTTCTTTTTCCGTCTAGTCTTATCATCATCATTTCATTCTTTGATAATAATAATCAATTCAAACCACTCCCCTTGAAGCAATTCTAATTACAGTAGTAGGTAGCACTAGGATCATGGACTACMTGGATGGGTCAATCGATCGATCGTTACTCGTCTCTTTCTCGGCTAATAACCTACCTACATACCTGATCCCGGATATCTAGTTTACGTGTCTACGGAGTAACATCAGCCATACAACTAACTGATCAATCATCCTGCGGGGTCAGATTGATGGTGACACCCGCCAAAGGAGCTTCGTTGCTTTACGGAGCTCCTCTCGCTTCCAATTCCCTGCCACCCGCCACAGTTGGCGGTTTTGATCATTGGACGGCTTTGGACATTGCAGTTCTTTTATGTTTCTGTCCATTCCTTGCTCGCCTTGCCCCTCATCATCCGTTATTAATACTGAAGGTTCTCTTTCCCTTCCCCCAATCCATCTTTGGCTGCAGCGCAGTGCAGACCCGTCTCTCGCGCATCTTCCCGACTTCGCTTGACGGTCGGTACGGTCTCGATTTCGTCAACGTTGGCCAGACGTCAGAGATCCCACGTATGTTACGGTCGTACTTTTGCTCCGTTTGGCTCCTGGCTGGTTACTATTACTATCACGGATCCTTCTCTGGCAACATCCACGGGCCTGTGTCAAATAACTCCGGGAGACCCTGCCCTGCTATTGCGTGTCATTCAACCATTGTTAGTTCTCACCGGGCTGGCTGCAGTATCAGGGCAAAACTTCTGTTGCCTCCTGGGGCTCTTTGGCTCTCTTTTCACTCTTCCTTCTATCCTCTCATCTTGCTTCTCCTTATTTCTTTCGTTTTTGCCCCCTTCTGTTGGGCCTTGCCGGCCTTGAAGGGTCCTGATTCCGAGCTCCGTTTAGGTCTAATCCACAAGATGATTTCCAGCCAATTGATATCGTTGACTTAGGCGAATGATCGATTGTTTTTCACTTTATTTAAGAAGACACTGGGGACTTGTCCACCATCTGCATTGTGACTAATATTGACACTGTCACAGTAGTACGCCAGAATCTGGTTGGAATAAGGCTATCTGTCCCCCTCTGCACGTTATCTATAACTATTTTGAATCATGTTAGCCTGGGTTTCTCTATCAAACAATCCCAGTTGTATCCATAAGCATGCCATCGGCTGTCTCCACCTGAGCTCACCTGTCTGCTGCTCGTGTCTGGACATTCATCCGAGTGCTTCTTATGGGAGGATCTCGTCATCTGCAAATGCCGGCAACACACCGAGGCATACCACAACTGCTTCTACAAGGTACTGTTGGAAGTGCCAGGGTCCGTCTTCTCTTTCCCCCCATTCCAAACCTCGTCAGCTCGTTCATGCACTAGTTTATTGAGTTCTTTGTGTCCGGTTATTATGTGCAGATTCGCTTATAGTCGCTTGACCACATTTGTTTAGTGTATTTATTGCCTGCTTTGCTTCATTCACTAGAGCAATTACTCACTGGCTTGAGCTCTTGTGATTTAGAATACTGGAGTTTTCACTCTTCATCTAGCCGTCCCGGCAGGCAGGCTTTCATTCACAGTCAACCAGAATACCCTGCTGAAGCTTACCTTGCAAGTGCCAACGCACGCAGTCTGTCTTTCGATATCTCTTCCACCCTTCCTCCTTCCATCTCTCTAGAGCCGACGAGATCTCCCTATCGCAGAAAATCTCGCCACGATAACATCGATAATCTTCGAGAGGAACTGCACGCCATCCATCAAGGGATCACAAGGATTTTAAACCACTTGCAGCTCCTGAGCGAAACGCTACTGACCTACCAACCCGCAACGCAGTACCCCTGCAACCCGGGCTATCAATTGATCGCTTCGAGCATGGATGTCCATTTATCTCCTTCCAATTTCGGGGACTCTAGCAATATGGCGCCTCCAACGTTCTCAAACATGCGGGATCCTAGCAGCCACGGGGCTGTGGACCCGCAAATAATCACGCAAAATAACGCATCAGGTGCTGGTGACGCTTCGACAAATCCTCATTTCGACGGTCAAAGTGAGTACCCGTAGCCTCGGTTGGAACCAATGTCTTAGGCTTAACAATTTGAGAAGATTCGAGTACCAATCCGTTTGCAACTTCACTTGCCGATGAGTACCTAGCTTTGATACACGATGGAGACCTCGCCTTCCCGCCACCCAGTTCTCAGGACACAAGAACTGGGATGGATGCAGGGGCCCAACAAACCCACGGGGAGGTTATAGCAGGCCAGAACTTCCAATGGGGAGATACGACCGACCACAATCGAAGCCATCAAGAAGCCAGCCTGCGTCACTGGGATCCGCAATATGTCGCCGATTTCAATAGACACAGTTATTCTCATATACGGACGGCTCCTGTTCAACCACCGGGGCCGTTGTTTCAAAATAGTCACCAGGTCGCAGTGCATCAGAGATCCGACTTGCAGCCCCCAGGACCACAGAATGTTACTGCGCCAGCCTACCAAATGATACCACCAGGTACGGTCAATACTCCTGCACATTTAGAGACTCAGCATTACGCAGGTGTGCGATATCGACCTGTCTATTCTCCACCATCGTACACCCGTCCCAATCCCTATATGCCATTCCCGCAATGGGGAGTTTCACCGTTGACCAACCAGCCGAGACGGCACCATCGGACGCAGAGCTCCTCTTCCACCGCAAGCTCAGTGCCGGGGCAGCAGCAGGCTCCATCCGTCGGCCAGACTACACGTCGACGCACGCGCCCTGCAGGTGAAACGAATCCGCAGCTCCCACGTCGCCTCTCGACATCTCAAGTGCCCGGAGTGCCGCCGGTGGCGACTGCCACAAGCTCTAGTCCTACAATGGCGACCGGAGCACCGCATTACTTCACGTATCTCACGCCAGAAGATCACGTCCAGATCCAACGATTGGCGGAGCTGCAAGCATACACAAGCAGTATGCGCACTGGTAGTGCCGTCCATGGAAGTCACCGACAGCACTCGCTGAATGACGACGGCATCGTTGATCGTGGGCCGCCAACTTCCAAAGGCCTCGATGACACGACGGATGGTCGTCCCGAACCCAAAGAAGACAAAGAATTGACCGTCAATCTCGAATGTAAGATCTGTATGAGTCAACTCGTGGACACCGTGATAATTCCATGCGGTCACGCCATACTTTGCCGCTGGTGCGCTGAGCAGCACATGCCGTCCAGTCGACTCGATCAAGCTCGGGTCAAGGGGCGGCCCCTTTGCCCTATGTGTCGTGGAGTCGTCAAATCCAAGGTACGGCATCGGATTCGGATGAGGAATAGCGCTAACATGATTGTTGTCTAGATGCGAATCTACTTGTCCTGACACCCCAGGCTGCTTCAATATGCCTGTCCTGACTTCCTGCTACGTATTCATCCAACTGCTGCCTTGCCTATCCTCAGATCGCGTATACTCTGTCATTTGGCGAGAAAGCCAAAGCAGGCTCCCCTGGAATGGCTAGAATCTGTTGCCGCGACCTTGAATAGCAAAGCAGAAGCTTCACTAAAGGGCGGCATTTCCGATTCGACTTTATGCCTCTCATAAGCTATCACAGTTCATGGAACATCCTCTAGGGGTACCAAGCAAATGCAACGAGTGGCTTGCAATAACTTCGAGCCATTTTTTCACTCTCAGAGTTCTTTGCATAGCGCCTCTTAACACTATAAATGATGATTTTTAGCGCAGTTACCGGTCCAGGAGTCTTGTCGGGAAGCACAGTCAACCTGTTTGTCGGGCTTCAGTCTGTCAGTGTGACACTCTCCGAGATTTTCTTGTTGCTTGAGCAGTTTCTTAATAATCTACTATGACCCACGATAGATGAATTCGGTTAATAATGCATAATTTGCTCTGTGTCAGTCATCGTCAGCAGCGATGACACTGAACTGTGTAATGAAGAGAATAAATCTGAGAGGGACATTTGCGGCTATGCTGATGATGACCATATCCGTTCCGCGGTCACTTCGCTCAATCATACCATACTCGTAGATAGGCGACAAAACGATGACGGGGGTGATAGATGGTGTCCTAATAATAGGAATCTTATGATCACGGCAGAGGCAATCAAAATACGGAGATATGAGAAGGCTGTGGCCAAAACACTACCCGTTGCCTTTCGGATGTGACTCAAAGTAGTAGGCAAACATGCGCGTGAAAGCTGGTCATTTACGTGACCACGACCTCTGGAATTCTGATGTAAGCTTCAAGCCCAGACATGGTCGTGCAATGACACGGGATGGCGTCGTATTTCCCTATTTGAACCGTTTGAAACTGTCAACTGGTAAGCTAATGGTCTATGCCTACACCCGCTCGTTGGAAAGTACGTTCCGAGGACCATGCACGGTTGCATGGCGGTTTTACCCGGGCAACAGTCGACCTTGACATGGATCATGGAAGCTGCTCGATTGCAGTTAAGGTACCTTGTAAAAGGGTCAGTCCGATCTGACCTTTCATCGAAGGGGTTCGTGAGATCGGTATGCAATGTCATTGGTTTGACTCGAAACGCTGTCGCCGATATTGCTAAGGTACCTACAATGAAAGGGGGCAATGGGCCGCAGTCTCGCAGTCGCACAGACAAGGCAACCATAGAAATAAAGTAGCTTGTTCACCGCACTTAACCGTTTCTGGCAAACAAACGACCATCCCTAGGTACTACTTCTCCTTATGAGCAAAGGGAAGTAGTATATAACTATGATTTGGCGGAGGACATTCGCTAGGTGCGCTCCCCGTGTGCCTATTGTTGTCGTCCGTGCTACCCATGGTATACCAGAAGCTTCGTAAATCGAGTGTCTTCATTACTATCCCCACGATCAAAATGCCCATCCGCCTCCTCTGGAGGATCCGCCCGTTTACCGTGCCAGGGAAAAGGACAGAGAAGCCTCAATCTGCCTGTTTTCTGTTTTGGGCGACTGGGTCTGAGTATGTTGCACGTGGCGTGTTGATCGTGGGTCAGGCTTCTTCATACTTGGCACTTGAGGGTATTCCATCCGTATGCCCCAGCTGCCTGATATTGCCTTATTGGGTTAAAGAAGGCCCGGTATACCTATCTCTGTCGCGGTCCTTCAGGATGACCGTAGACAGATCGGAAATAAAATGCGGTTAGCATTGCACAAAGGTCTATGGATGGGGCCTAGAAGCTGGGTAAAACAAGGCAAAACGGCCAGGCTACATATGGATCTGAATCTGAATCAGTCTCGTATTTCCGTTAAGGCGATGTGTCGAGTACTGAATATCTACAGAGCCAAGGGAAATGCTGCTCGTGATTGTCTCGTAGCGCATAACTGCATCGTTCTTGTGCTGTTGTAAATCAAACCACTCCTAGTTCCAAGGTTGCGATGCTGATCCTCACCAGTCGACTGTTTACCTTGTTACCATCGGTAAACTGCAGAAACTGGGCCTTGACGAAAGCCGAAGTTACAGCAAGTTCGGTCTTCAAGTGCGATCTCTGCGGTAATCTAGGTGAGATAACCTGGAAGGCTGGTGAATGATCATAGCAAGAGTGAATACTTGGCGTTAAGACGATCGTTGCCTTCGGTATGGCGGAGATAAGGGAGAAATGCATTTGTAATATTGTCTTTCGTCTAGCTCATTGTTATGATATTCGAGAAAATTCCTTGGTGGATCGTCAGCATTTTAGGCTACCTCAGTAGGTATGTCAATCAATATTGTTTTGTCCTTGGACATTGGGAGAAAAGAAGAATATTAGCAACTTTCGCTCGACTTTTATAGAACTGACTGATTAATTATTCAAGCAGATCATTTAGTTATATCCTAGAAGAAATGGACAAGAAACGCTCAACTGCGGTGATAATGTAGACCTTTTTTAAGGTTCACAATGGTCAGGCAACCAGGTCGATCTTTAAGATCATGGAAAAGTAACAATAACAGCCAATTATCCGCCAATATCGGGGCTTGATTATTGAATATTTGTCTCTTCTGCATTATTAGCTAGGTAGACATTCTCTATCAAGGCCAAAGCGACCTTTCATTGTGAAATCAATTCACCCGCTTATTTCCTGCGGTTAGGTGGTTTCATGGTATTATTAACAGCATCCCATCCATCCGTCATCGTCACCTTTCCTTGGTCATCCGACAACTTAAATCCTTGACTTGCCTTGCCTTTCCTTCTCTCCACAAACCAGCTTTGAAACAAAACCGCCTAGTTACCAGGCTAGCCCCGGTGTTTCTACTTTAGTATCCGGAGTTAAGGTAGGCAGGAGCAGGAAGTAAGGCACAGTAAGGTACCTACCTAGTTGTGTGGCCCGCCGTTCGCGAACGGATGGAGCCTGTTAGTTTAGGTTGCCTTTGCCTACCTACCTGGTATCTAGAATCATCATTGTCTGTCGCGCTCAACCTCGTCTTGATCAAGAGCTATAAATAAGCTGGTGTTTGCTCCAATAGCTTCCTCAGGTAAGTGTCGTCATCACTATCCTCATTCTTCACTGGAAATATTTTTTTCGCCTGGCATCGTGAGTGCAGCTGATCCTTTTGACCAGTATCATTTTGTTTGTTTTCATATTCCATTTTGTATTTCATCTTTGTTGTGTACTGAGAGTGAAGATTCAAAGCTGTGCCCGTCTTCCGTCATCTTCCTGTGTTCCCTTGGTGTGTCTGGCTCCTTCTACTCACTCAACAGTTGGACACCGCAGATTCGTGCCCCTCTTGCCAATCTCCGTCTCATCCGTTACCTCTCCTCTAAGCTGGGATGTGGATCATATCAGCTGATGCAGATGGGGAGAATTCAATCAGATGACATGCTCCAGATTGACTCTAAAATCCTTTGAGAATAATGAGCAACGGATTTATGTACCAGCAGTTGGGCATTGTTCCAGATCATCCCAACGTCCACATCAGTAGAAAGGACCACGCGGCGGACCAATTGAGTGCCCAATCGATTGATTCCCCGAAGCTCGCAAATGAGACCGGCGACTTTCCCAAGTAAGTATTTCCGTCGGCAACTCCATTATTCCTCTTCCAATGTATTTGTCCGTTTGTCCCTCATCTACTGACTGAGTTATTTAGGAAACCAATTGGTCGCTTGCCTGCCGATAATGGGTCTCCTATGGCATATCCGATCACCCATCCGGCTCGACACACCGTCAGCCCCTCGCTCTCTGTAAAGAGGCCTTATTCAGCGGGGGCTATGCCAGAAAACTCGGACTCGGAAGATCTGAGCCATCAAGGCTTCGCTTCAGGAGGGAGTATGGAGGCTGCGTCACCTCATTCCATAAAAGGTCGCCAGCAGAAATTAAAGACTCGACAACGAGGTTCTTCCCAGATGCTAGGCACCCCCGGCAGTCGGATAGTAGGCGAAATCGGAAATCGCAAAAGTAGTCCGTCTAAGAGCGATACGCGACTGCCTAGATTTTCAGCAAGCTCCGCCGACGATCTTGCCGCGAAGTGGCGACAAGAGGTGGCGCAATCCGATGCGCAACAGATGCGTGCAAGCCCCGTTCAGCATGGAAGTGTGTCCACCCTTCAGCCAAGTGTCAGGCAAGAGAAACTCGCTGCGCGGCCCAAGGGGCAATCGGCAGGACTCGTGGAAGGATTGAGCTTTGATCAGAAATCCGCTGGAGGTGACTCAGCGGTAGCCGGAGGTACAGCATCACATGGGATCTTCCTGCAGCCAGAAACTCATCCTATAACAGAAGAGCAATTGATCAATGAAGTGCGCGGAATCTACGCCGGGCTAGTCATGGTGGAGAAGAAGTGCATTGAAATCGACAAGCAACAGTCCGAGTCGAAGACTGCGCTGTCCCCACTCCAATGGCAGGCCCTGATTGCCTTACATCGAACGCTGCTGAACGAGCATCACGACTTCTTTCTAGCATCACAACATCCGTCCGCAAGCCCTATGCTCAAAAGACTGGCAGAGAAATATGCCATGCCGGCTCGTATGTGGCGTTACGGGATCCATTCCTTCCTAGAGCTACTACGCCATCGGCTCCCTGACTCCCTGGAGCATATGCTGACTTTCATTTACATGGCTTACTCGATGATGACTCTGCTGTTAGAAAGTGTCCGCGCATTTGAAGAGACCTGGATCGAATGCCTGGGCGACTTAGCGCGATACAGAATGGCAGTAGAAGAGGTGGACCTGCGGGACCGCGAGATCTGGGCTGGCGTCGCCAGATACTGGTACAACAAGGCGGCAGATAGGAATCCTGATGTTGGCAGGATACAACATCACCTTGCTGTCCTAGCTCGCCCGGATGTAGTCCAGCAGCTGTTCTACTATACAAAGTCTTTAGTCAGTGTGCACTCCTTTCCAAGCACGAGGGAAAGCATACCATCATTGTTTAATCCGCTTCTGAATGCGCCAAAAGCACATCATCACTATCCGCTCATTGCGGCTTTTGTTTTGGCTCATGGCTATCTCTTCTATCGCAATCCGGCGCCTCAGTTCTACAGATCAGCAGAGGAATTTTTGGCACACTTGGATACTCATGTTGGCCGAATGGGGGCCGCCTTTAAGATGCAGGGCGTCTACATGTCGTCGTGCAATTTCGCAGCCATATTCGAATACAATCACCCGGACGCCGCCTTACCCGCCCAGTTCCACCCGGGAGGAATCCATCAAGGGAAATCTGCTTTGGAGACCCAATCCACGTCTGCAGAAACGTCGACTTACGCTTCTGACCTCCATTTGACCGAGGATGGATCAATGGCATCCACAGATGGTCGAAGGTATTCGCCACTTAGTCTTTACGCGTCGTGCCTGACATTCCAAACCTTGTCTGTCCTTCTTGACCAGATCGGGAACAAGAACATTTATCCCACAGTGCATATCTCGCTAGCCTTCCTCTGGTGCCTAGCACTCAATGGCAAGAGCAGCATAGAATACGTCGAAGCTTTCGTCCCGTGGAGAAAGATCGCCACCTTTCTCAATACCATGATTCGCGATGATGCAGATATTCGAATTTTCGAAGGTCCCCATTTCCCTACTGTGGAAGAGAGGAAACAATTGCCGGAGGACTTTTCAATACGTGGTCAGCTCTGGAGTCAACTCTATTTCCCGCCTCATTTCTTTGAGGATTCTCTCATTGAGGATGAGGGGCGTCTCATTGAGCTACCCTCTCTGAACGTCTCCAGGATGTACAGGTGCCTTTGGCTGGGAGTGAAGCTGGCGACGGTATGCCTGAAAGACCGCGGCAAAGGAATGTGTAAAAATGCTAACAAGGTACAGTCCAAACGTTGGATGACATACGACCCCGTCTCCCGAAAGTTCTCGGTGACACCCCTTGCGCTTCGACTTGAGAAACTTGCGGAGCAGCACAATCCCTTCAAAGTCGCAGCGCCGCAGCCGGGGGCCCGCGATTCGGAAATGCCTGACACTTGAGGCTTCAGCTTCTCTCTTACACCAGGTTATAACACAGTTTCGCCAATTGCGCTCGAGATCCTGGGCTGTCGATCAGAAGCTTGTCAAAGCTGAGAGTGCGACGATACCAACCTAGGAATAAGGCGTGTCATCAATGGCTGTACATCAATGCCAAGCAATTGAATGGAAAATGGCATGACTTGTCACTATCCCCGACAACAGCCTGCGTAAGGCGAATTCGTCAGAAGCGCTTATGAAAGTGACCATTATGCTGATCTGCCAGATCACGCTTGTGCCAAGCAAACACTGCCAATACCCTCGCTCGCAAATGCAATTCATGAACATTCAATTTTCTAAGATGACATTCTCGCGACTTCATCTTAGACTCTTTCCATATTCCTACTCTGCCCAGGGATGATACTTCCAGAGGTATCTACTTGTCGAAGTTGCATTCTTCCTGATCACGTGGTATTACCAGATGGGTTACTTCTGCTCCCCATCTATTCTGTAGACAACTGGGTTCCTTTTGGATCCTACACTTGTGTGAACTTTTATGGGATAAGACGGCTTCGTTGAGTTGTCACCAGTGATGATACGATGTTGGGCCCGTATTTCCCTTCCGCAGATTTGCTTGTGATCGGGCCGTACATGCTCATTCTTGGAGCCTATGAAATGAGTAAATAACCTTTTGCAATTGAGCATCGTTCGCATAAATAATGCCCGCCAATCATAGGATGTCTATGCCAGACGTGTGCATCTACCTGGTTATGTCCGTGTACCTAGTAGTAGAATAGTGCGTGGCCGTATACGTAAGTGCCTGTTGGCCGTTGTGGGGTTGAAGCATCGCGGCCCGTCAAAGGACCACCTATCTAAAAAGGGATCCAAAGGATCCAATTACACTTGGCGGGTACTTGCAACCAGCTATCTGCTACTCACTAAACCCAAAATCAAAAGGACAAGTTGGCTATCCGGTCCTCCGCCCCATTGTCATGGCATTCCGCGCATGATGGCCATTGTCTGTAGCGACTTCAACTCTCAATGCGAGTCCTACTGACCAGACAGGCTCCGTGTCGCATGGCCGACCAACCAGGGATCGTCTTGACCTGTATCTCGAGCGCCTAAGCTCGTCTACTGCCACTGTGATTATCATTGCAACATTTTTCTTCATTTACAACGCGTTTGTCATATCCATTATGGCTGAGGAATCGTGGATTGGGACGTGTGTCCAATGCACAAAACTGCTAGCCAGCGTGCCTCTTCCCGTCCTCCTGGTTGCCATATCCGCGACCCTTCTGGGATCATTCATTCTTGTATGCTCTCCTGTCGGATTTCTTCCTCCTATGCCAACGTTTGGTCTTGAGAATTACTGACATATTTCCTCCAAGTTCTACGCCGTCCTTTACCTAGTCGCACCCGAACCACGAAAGCCATTACCAGAGGAGAAGCGATACCGCACCCTTTCCGAGGATGGAGCAATCACACAACCCGAACAACTGCCCTGCTGGCAAGACGCCCTGGACCGGCAGAAACGTCCCGGTCGGATCTTTGACCATTCCCATATGGAGAAAGCGGAGCTATTCATGTCATTGGTGGTCCCCGCGTACAACGAGGAGGACCGTCTGGCCGGCATGCTAGAGGAGGCGGTCAACTACCTGGAGAGGATGTACGGGACATTAGGGGCGTCGTCCACCTCCGACGAGAAGGCCGGAGATGCAGTCCGACAGCGGAAACCGGCCAACGGCCATGCGAACGGCCATGCCACGACAACGGCCATACCTAACGGCAAGTTTCCAGCTGGGAAGGGCTGGGAGATTATCATTGTCTCCGACGGATCCAAGGATAAGACGGAGGAGGTCGCGTTTGCTTTTGCCCGCGACCACCAGCTTTCGTTACATCCTAAGGGGTATGCTGGTCCTTGGACGCCGACGCCCCGTGAGGGGGTCCATATTCCGCCCGGCACGATCCGGGTGGTGACTCTGGCCGAGAATCGGGGGAAGGGCGGGGCGGTTACGCATGGTATGCGGCATATCCGCGGTCAGTACGTGGTGTTCGCCGATGCCGATGGGGCGAGCAAGTTTGAGGATCTTGGGAAGCTGGTCACTGCTTGCCGGGACATTGAGGACTCGGACGGGCGTGGAGTAGCAGTGGGTTCGCGAGCGCACATGGTTGGTAGTGAGGCTGTTGTCAAGGTATGATTTGTAGCTCCCGTCGTGAACTGGGCAAAGCTGACATCGGACTCCCGACCACAGCGTTCGAAACTACGCAATTTCCTGATGCATTCGTTTCATTTGATACTGTGGCTTATGACGCCTCCCAAAACAGCGACCATCAAAGATACCCAGTGTGGGTTCAAGTTATTCTCGAGGGCCTCGCTGCCTTATATCATCCCCTATATGCACTCGGAAGGATGGATTTTCGACGTCGAGATGCTCATGCTGGCTGAATTCTCGAATATCCCGGTCGCAGAGGTTCCCGTGGGCTGGAGAGAGGTCAAGGGCAGCAAGCTGAATGTCGTTCGCGATAGCATCGGTATGGCTTGGGGTCTGGCTGTCCTCCGGGCTGCGTGGACATTGGGGGTCTACAAACGGACGTGACATGGTCTAAGAGATTCTATTTGTTGTATTTGGGTCTATACAATGATTGCTGCATCCTATCATTTGATTACTTCATAAAGATCTGCCCTGAGAGGTAAATTCCATGACGACGTGAAAAGAAACAAGCCCAATAAAGGTTCTATACTTATTCTAAACACTGGAAAAATGGCGGCGACTGATCCCGAACATCTCCGTCTCCATTCGTTTCTTGCCACTCAATTTTGAGATGCCGAGCAATGGAAGACCCCGATGAACCAAAGACACATACCAAATTGAGTTTTCTCTATTCCTCTCTGACCGTCGGACAGGTCCCATTAATTTCCATCATTTCATCCGATTGATCGAAATGGCAGAGAGAGCCAAAGTTTTCGGCAGGAATTTTCTTCCCTGACGTCGGTCGGCCCGACTCAAGCTGCAGAATGTAAGACAGATCCTCGATAGCCCAGCCTGTGGTGGAGGCACGATGACAGCGGATGTTGGACTGATTGGATGCTGGACAGTGGTATGATGCTTTTTTCTCCTGCTCTCTCTTTTTCTTTACTGTTTTTGCCGAATACTGACTCAATTGTCAGTCCATCGGTGCATATCAGCTTGGAATGCTCTGATTCATATATTCCAAGCGATTCAGTCTCTGCAGAATTTCCCCCTTCTGCACATTATTATCTTTGTACCCTTGTAGAGAGGGCACTGGATGAAGTGTTTGATTCTGATATCGTTTTGATTTATCTATTCTGTGGACTGTCTGATGTCACTGGGAGCTTTTCCCACACTGGGGTCTTCCTAAAGATAAAGAGTTCCTTGTTCTTCTTACTCTTGTCATTCGTTCTATGCTATCAAGCTACAGTCTCGATCGACTCTGATATGCTGGAGGTCATCGCTTCTACATCGAAATCCGCACAAATCGGGGCACGGAGTCCTCGAAATACACCTTCCAAGCTGTCGGGTTTCTTTCGACTACCTCCGGAGCTCCGTCTGAAGATCTACGAATATGCTCTGTCGATCCCTAATGAATACACGGACCGTCCGCTGATCGTCGTCAATGATCGTGGCAACAGCTTCACCTCACGCGGACGGTTCCGCGCCCTCTCCATGTGTCCCAGCTGGGTAGGGCAGGACGGCACGGCGCGCAATCTGCTATCTGTCAACCGCCAGATCCATGACGAAGCAGAGGATTTTCTCTACTCGCGCCACACCCTGTTCTTCCTGAACTCGTTTGATCTGAGCCGTCTCGGTGCGTTCCTGGATACCCTCAGCGCGACGGCACGCAGCCGCATTCGTAGCGTTGGCTTCGAGATCTGCTTCTTTGTGCATTCGCAGACGGGAGTGCCGAAGCGCATGTTGAAGGACTACGAGCGCGCGGGACGGTTGCTCATGGAGAAGCTGCCGCAGTGGTCTAGTGTCTTCTTTTATCTGGATCCGAGGTTCTACTATCCGTCTGCTTCTGTGGGTGGGCGCGATCTATCGGCTCGTGGGGTCCTTTATCTGGCGACGGTGTTTGGGGCGATGAGGAAGGATCTGCATTTCTTTCCGTTGCCGTCGATTCATCGGCATGTTATGGATGAGGCGCAGAGGTTGTTGAGGAGGGGAAGTCGGTCGTCGCAAGGTCGGCCTTCTCTTTGACAGAACTTGAAAATCTTCTCTTATTCTTATTCGCTTGGAGAGTCAGATCTTGCAGCATATGCCATCGTTCGTTTTAGACTTTATGAACGGTTGGGGACTGCTGCAGGATGACGTCCCTTTGTTATGCACTGCAAAAGCCGACATTGAGTCTTGTCCGATCTCGGGCTGGCGTGGGTCAATCACTTGGAGCTAACGGGATTATTCTGGCGCAGGAGGCTCGGATAGGCAATGCATGGCGCTGGCTTGCTTTTTGTGGAATGTTTCGTGTTTCTCATCTGGATGGTTTGCTTTCATATTGAAGGGTTTGGCACGGAGGAGTTTCTGTGACTGGGCGTACTCATCTCATATAGACTTAGACCGATTGGATAGATATCCGCTCCCTGTACTTATACCAGTGCTATACTAATACTAATATCGAAGGAAGCAAGATTATATGATGATTTAAGGGCCAAATCTGCATGCCAAACATACTGCTTGAGCTCATGGCATGATCGGCCGACCAAACCCCAACTCCAAGTACCATTCTGACTCTTGACTACGGGAGAGTTCGGATGATCATTCAGGAATAATAATCAATTAGAATATTTACACAGACACAAGAACTCGCAAATGACACTTGAATGAGGAGAATCGATCGTCTGTTGGACGGGTTATGTATGGCATAACGTCATCGTGTCTCTCGTGATCGCCCACTTTCCCCTACCACCTCCATTTTGTAGATTCCCAAAGATCTGATGCATACCTCTGCGATTGGCATCCATTTGGAGATATAACCATTGATTTATCCTTCTTTCTCTATCCTTCGTCGATAATCATCTCCGTGCTGGCGCCCGAATTCGACAGCCTCGGTTCGTTGAAAGAGCACTGAGGTTACACTCTCATAAAAGGACGGTAGGAGACTGAGGTGCTAGTCTGGTACGTCGCACACGATTCCCCCGCATAAATGTGGGACATCCATCGTCGACCCGCTTTCTGAAAACTGATATAAATGCTTCAGTCTGCGGTCGTTTACCAGCGCTCCTCTTCTGGTAACATGATGCGCTGAACTACTATCGCTGCGGTGAAAGATTGCCCTAGTCCACTTGTCGCCCGACGTTTGGCTGGCTCCAAACAATCCAACATTCGACCTCCACAATACGGAGCAGTTGACAACGCTATCGCTGCTCCTTCTATGGGGCCACGCTGCGCCTGAGGAGTTCTTACATATTTGTCCGCGCTTTCAGGCACCGCTTCGTACACTAGTTGTCGGTCGAAAATTAACTACTCAACGTCGTACAGGAGGACGCTGTGCGTAGCGAACCCCTTGTCTCCTCTTGTCTGTACCTTGAGGTGGTTTCCTGCATCTGTTTTTCCCTTTAATTTTCATGCGGTGGAGATCTGCCCTGGCGATGCTGTTTCCATTTCCCAGAGAACGCCAAGTTGATAATCCTCACGCATCATCGACAACCCGCTGATTATTGGCAAATTTTCGTGGAGATTCGAGTCCTCAGTCTCCCCTGTATTAGTTTTATTGTCTTTGAAGTTCCCTTGCTTCTTTCTCTTTTTCTCCACCTCTTCATCCCTTTGGACAGGAGAGGCTTTTTTAACTGGACGACGATCCTGCAATTGTTTCACGTGAGACGATCTGGCTACCGCCACCATGAAACCAACGACTGCAAAGGTTCCCAATGGGCATGGGAGCCTCTACAAGGAGGTTCGCTTTTCGCCAACGGCAACCCCCATCCGCCGTGCACAGTCGGTCTCGACCAGTACCCCCGCCTCCAAGTTCTATCACGGACGGGTGCTTGGCAAAGCAGAAAGCGATCGCTTCTCTTACTCGTCTTTGAGCGCCGATTATCTGGAGCAGGCCCGAACGCTTCTCCACCGCCAAAGGGCGAGCTTCGAGAATGAACGGGCACTTTTCGCAGAGGAACGGCAATTATGGGAGAAGGAGAGGGAGCTCCTGAAACTAAGAATATCAGAACTAGAAGCCTTGTTGAAGAACAAAGGTACCCCGAACGATGACTATCCGGCTCCTAGCACATTTGCCGCGTTCTCTTTGAACCCCTTCGGTGGTCTGGTGGCCCCTAATTTATCTACTGAGCGCCACCGCAGCCACGATTATATGAGTGCTCAGGTGTGGGAGGGGCCCAGCCCTACCAGTCGGCCCACAAGGGTTTTTCACGATGTGGAAAAGACCGATGGTCAGAACCACCTCGCGTCGATCACAGAGCAAGGAGCGCATCTGCCACTCACTGCGTCGTCCTTAGATGCGGCGCTATCCCCCAAGGCTCGTGCAGCCGAACTCTCCKCGTGTATGAGCGTACCCGTCCCAATCGAGAAGCTTGACAGCAAGCTAGATGGCATTACGCTCAAATCTTCAGCGCTGCCCCCCGATGTCGTCGCCCGCGTGCTGACACCACCATCCCCTTCGCCAATGGACGTATCTTCAGAGTCGTCCGATCGTTCGAAAACGTCTTGGGAACGTAAGAACAGCCTGAAGCTGAAACTTTCCGAGCTTGGGCCACCCGACGTGAATCTAGTTAGGGATGCTGGGCACACTCCGATGGTGCTCATTGATGCCGATGCGGACACAGAGCAGGCCTCGGTTAACGGTGACGTGCTCACCAGTGTCCAGGGCAAGGAAGAAGAGCCCTTCGCCCCTAGGGCGACGAGGGTTGGACAGCCTGCAGAAAATTCCGACTCCTACTTTCCGGACATACCTGATGATCCTGCCCTCAAGGGGCCGTTATCCCTGCTGAATGAAGAGGAGCATGACAGCGAGTTCCTACAGGAGCTGGATCTGAAACTCCTCGATCAGGCCAGACGAGTGATTGGTCACTCCTCTGACCCCGGCCCGGCCGACGAGAAGGCAGCAGATGCAGACCCTACTGAGTCCGTTCCTGAATTGATATTCAAAAAAACGACCAATTTCGGCACTGCGTTTGGGGCCTCTGACTTTGAAAAAGCTTGAGGCGTGCGCAGTTCCACTTGCATATTTTCTCACGAGTCGTTTACAAGTTGACCCCTTTTCTATTTACTTTACGATGATACACCTGTTGTTCGACGCACATTATCGGCGATTTTTGGGGAGGTCATGTTAGCAATGTGATATATATATCCAAGTCATTTAGGTGGCCCATGCTTCTCTTCCCGTTTCGGAATACTAGAACGATGATATTGAGGTAGCGTCTTATTCTCATCTCTTCAAGGTTGAGTCGACAATCTGACTTTCGCGATGTGTAACAAACCTTACCAGACCGCGCTGCTTAAAGAAGTTCCAGGCACTGGCGTTTGACTTGTGGGCGTATCAATAACTCAGCCGCCCTTGCATGGCATCAACCTCGAAAGGACGTATCAAGCCACGATTTCTTCTTGTCTCATCCCTTTGCCCTTCGATGTATTTCCGCTGCATCTGCATGTGCAGTGCAAATCCGGAGGAGAGGCCGATATACCCCTCATCCTGTGCTCCTAGCTAATTATCGGACTAAGAATAGTCTTCATCTTAATGCCTTACATGTCAAGTGCTCGGATCTCGGTGGCTGGCTACGAAGGATGTGAAACTGCCTCGCGAAGGCATAGGACTCATTTGCACAGAAGATGAAGGCAGATATAAAAGACCTCCTGTCCCACAGCATGTTGTGGTCTATCTCTCATCCACTCTTTGACTTTTCCGCTCGTTGAGAGCAGTCATTCGTTTATATATCTGAACGACATTCTTTTTTCTTCTTCGGAACTTTATCATTACATTCCTTCCATCGATATGACAAAGACTCACAACATCAAAAAGCTCTCGGCGCTGCTGTGCCTTCTGCTCGCCGTTGGCCCTATTGCTGTCCTCTCGGCTCCCATCACTGATGTAAGATATGACACGCATTGTCACCCTTTTCCAGCTGGCGTCCCATGCTAAGAAAGAAATAGGTCGAAAGCCTGGCCAAAAGGCAGTCAACTCACAGCAACACCGATGCTGCATCCTTCACGAACGCTGGCATCCCCGACGGACCAGCCTTTAACAAAGGCAATTCCTTCTCCTCCAGCAACGATGAGAACCGCGACGAGAACCGCAATGAGAACCGCGATGAGGACTGCGATGAGAATGAGCATGACAATGATTCGCCCTCCAACCCGAGCTCCAGCTCTAGCAGCAACACCGGCGCCGCATCCTTCATGAACGCTGGCATCCCCGCCGGACCAACCTTTAACAAAGGCGATTCCTTCTCCTCAAGAAAGCAGGAGAGCCACGATGTGGGCGACAATGAGAATGGCTCGCACTCGGGCTTCAGCACCAACACCGACGCAGGCGACTTCTCCACATTTGGTATCCCCGACGGCCCCAGCGCTACCTTTGGGAATTTCTATCACCATGATTATGAGGAGACTCACTCCGAGCAGCCCGAGACTTCGCACGTTCCTGCCCCTGCTCCTCCTACTTCTMCCCCCCCCGCCCCCGCTCCTCCTATTTCTACTCCCCCTGCCCCCGCTCCCCCTGCTCCTGCTCCTCCTACTTCTACTCCCCCTGCCCCCGCCCCCCCTGCCCCCGCTCCTCCTCCGGCGCCTCCTGCGCAGACTCCTAAAGCTCCTCCCCCTGAAGCTCCTGTCGCTGCCCCTCCTGTACCAGCACCAGCACCCCCCGCTGATCATTCCTGCACCTGCAGTTGAACCATCAGAACAAGTGCACGGGGGCGCCCGGGCCGTAACCCGGCTAGTGTATAATGGCTTCCTCAGGGACACCGCGTGTCTCGTATACTCTACTCCGACCTTTCCTTTCCCTTCTGTTCCTGTTCAAATTTCTTCCTATCGACCGGTTCTGTCTCTGTCGGCATTGGCACGGGTGCATCGGTCGTGTTAGATATTTTATTTCTATACGTTCCTGACGAGGAGTAGAGTATAGTATAATCCAAGTGTGTCTCAATGAATGCAATATCGTCTTTGTGTATGCTGCCGGGGGTGACCCCAAGAAGACAAACTAAAGAATTATTAGAATTTGAGATGGTGAACTGTCTCGTCTCATTCCCGTCATATCTTCATAGAATTGAAAGCAGAAAGACTCCTCGCTAACGCCTAACACCCACCAGAAAGAGCACAACATATCTCCCCAAAGCTGATCATACACCCATGGTAAAGTCATGCTCAATCCCGGGCGTCACACTAGCGATAAACTTCAAAAACACGACCAGGTACTGATCAACCCGGATAGCAACCTGATCTTCCTCGTCATGCTGAAGCACCTCCCATTCATCTCCACCAGCCGCATGCCCCTGCTGCTCATTCAGCGACAGGCCCCGGGTCTCGTCCACCAAGCCCTCCAGCCCACGCTCGGAGTTGATCCTGTTCGCCTCAGCCGCCGAATGCGCCTGCTTGAGCTTATCGCGGCGGATCTTGAGGGCTGCGTCGGCGCGGTCGAGGAGGGTCTTCATGACGGAGGCGTGGCGGCAAGGGTGCACGGAGGCCATTTTGACGCCGCCGTCGAACCAGGGGAAGTCTTCCAGCGTCACGGTTTTGTCCTTGTAGTCGCCCACGATGTCCTCCATCATGAGATGAGGGGGGAGGGGCTCGGAGGGCGAAAGGTAGCCGGACAGGTAGAGGCGCGGGGTGCGGTAGAAATTCGAGTATGTGATGTAGAGGTTATATGTGCGGATCGGCCTTTTAGCAAACATGTCAGTGAAAACGCAGCTTACATAGATGGAATGAGAGAACGTACTGCGTCGTCGACTTGCCCGCCGGTTCCCGGATGATCGCCTCCTCGTCATCATCGTCGTCCTCCATATCCGGGATCTCCTCCTCGTCCTCTTCCCGCTCGCCCATATTCCCCGATTCATCTAMTGTCCGCACATCCTTTATCCGCTCCGCCTGCTTCTCGGCCAGATCGCGGCCCCCGCCTGTACGCAGCCACCCGCCGCCATCGTCCGCGTCCGCACCGGACAGCATGTCCCGGACGATCTCATCCTCGTGGCCTGCGTCGCCGGCGAAGTTCTCGTTCAGCCGTCGGTGGCAGGGGACCCCGCGGGTGACTAGGAACTGTTTCCCCGGGGGCAGGTACGAGACTCGCTTGGCGGGGGAGGAGGCGTCCGCCCAGGCCCATGTTGGGAACTTGTAGACGAGGTAGTCGCCCGCCAGGACGAACTCTTCTGGGGTGATTTGGCCGGTGGTGCGGAAGGTGGAGGTGCGGGAGACGGGGGCCAGGCGGTCCCGCCAGGTTGATAATGTGGAATGGAGGATGTTCATCGTTCACTCTAACTGCTTGCTGATATCTATTCGGGATCCTTGAAGATTATCTTCTTGCGGGCGGGAATCGATAACGTGTGCTATAGTCAAGTTGTGTTGAGTTGTGAAGATTGGATGATGATCAACAGAAGTGGCGGAGAGCGGAACTGTCTCTATGTTCCTCACGCGGGGCTACATCATGTGGCTTAGGCAGCGTCACAACCACCCCCAAACAGAAATCACGGGAAAGATAAGAGCTGACCTCAATAGTAATTGTTTTGGCTACAGCTATATTTAAGGAGGCCGGTCGAATGATCAGCTTCACCTGACTGACATGACACTGATGATGACGCAATCATGTCTCCAGAGACGTAGATGTTTAGCCATATACATGCTTGTATGGATTCAGTTCCCATATCTCGCCAGGGCAGAATAGCGAGCCAAAGTCGCCCGTGCTGTCAATAAGAGATCCTAGAGATCCTCTCAAGGGACACAATACCACGAGTGACGCCGTGGGTTTGTGTCATCGATACTGTCAAGAGCTCGTCCATGAGATTCCCCAGTATTTAGCGACCGCAAGCCAAGCAAGGTCCGGATGAAACAGCAAACAGCTTGTTCGCCTGGAGTTTCGGAACATAGAGCGTACTGTGACCCTCACGGCAGCTGAGATCCTCTGATGGATCGAGTTGAAGGAACTCTGACACTGTCAGAGCTGTCATTCCACAACCTCACTCGCCCTCCTCCATCATCCTGCGTCGTTCGATCTCAGCCTCCAAATCCTCCACGTTCATCGGCACTGTCCGTGTCTTCCATTTGTCGAACTCCGCCCTCGCAAATCCTTCCAAGCTCCCCATAGCCACAACCAAGAACCCCAGCTCCTCCCGATCGACGTCAAAGACCTCCCACCACTCTCCATCCACCAGCTTCACACCCTTTTCTCGAGCAGCGAGGTATATAGCCGCGACAGCAAGCGCATTCGGCTGGTGCGTGACGTAGAGTAGTTGGGGCGACAACAGAGATCCATTCAAGTGCTCGAATACCCTCCGCGCTACAGCCGATGAAGACACGCCGAGCGTCTGCAGGTACGTCAGAGCGATTGTATGCGGTAGGGCGACATGCGTGTTGAAGCCMAGTGTGCGAAGGATGACCGATTCGATTCGGAGGAGGACGGCGCGCTGCGTCTGGTAGCCTCCTTCGGAGAGGACGTACGTTTCTGGGGCGGGCTTATCTGTTACGCCCCTGGGATTGACGAACCACAGTGGAGACGCTTCTTTGGACAAGAGGAAGTTGTAGACGTTGAGGACGGATCGAGGTGACGTCGGCTGGAACGAAAGCTTCGCGGTCAAGTACAGAGCAGCGGCGGAAACGTCCTGGGAGGGTGCATCTAGTTAGTTACTAGGAGACAGCAATTGACCACACGAATCTCGGAGAACAAACCTTCACCGAATAAATACGCATGCTTCCCCCTTCCGAGCCGATCCAGAAACGGGTGAAAGTTACGATGGCCTGCGCAACGATATCCTGCGACAGGCGCAGTAGGATGCCAGCAGCGTGGGTAAGCTGCGCGCCCGCGAATCGGAGGGACGTCTCTAGGTCGGGAGTGACGCCATCAATGGACGACGAGGAGCTAGACAATTGCTCGGGAGTTGCGAGTGCATTTGAGAGATGCTGCAACGCAGCTACAGCTGGAGGTGCCATGCTGTGTCTCTCTTTGTGGTGGTGGTTGATGGAGACGATGGTAAAAGCGAAAACAGGTGCGGACTCGCTGCGGAGAAGATTCAATGGCAATGGAGCTCCCGCAGTCTATAGCCATTCTATACGCACACAATCAGTGGTCCCATTCCTCTTACACATTATTTAAGATCAATGGTTCTATATCAAATAGGAGACTGTTACAATGTATATAATTATGTAATTGTACATTACAGTCAGATGTTGCGGAATATCACCCGTTTGAGATGTTCGCTCTCTGCATCCTCTTCCACCATTCGCCGGAATATCCCGTTCTTCAGCTGCATGAGAACGCGTGGAGAAGCGAATTCTGCTACTTTACCAGCGTCGAGCACCAGAATCCGATCAAAGTCGGCGACGGTACTAATACGGTGCGCAATCACTAGCATCGTTGTTGACCCCTGCCCAAAGTCGGACCGGATAGCCTTCTGGATCACCCTGTCAGTAGCAGTATCTACCGCTGAGGTAGCTTCATCCAGCACAAGGATCTTGGGTGCGGAAAGCATGACACGAGCCAGGCAGAGCAGTTGTCTCTGGCCCTGCGAAAGGTTCGACCCTCCCCCCGCGACACGGGCGTCGAGGGGAGAATGATGCGTCTTTTCTTGCAGCAAATCCGGAGATGATGACTGGCAGCTGGACCCTTTAGCCGCTGTTTCCTTCCCCGCCGAGGGCCTGCTAGCATCTTGTGCTAACCATTGTACGCGATCTAAGACAGCAAGCAAATCGCTGTCATCATGTTCTTGGAAAGGATCGAGGTTGGACCGGATCGTGCCGGCGAACAATGTCGGATCTTGCGGGATGATACCCATTCGACGACGCAGATGATGAAGCTTGATCTGGCTAATGTCGACGCCATCGATGAGAATGCGCCCTTCCCGAGCTTCGAGAAACCGGAAAAGAGCCAGCGCCAGCGACGACTTGCCTGCCCCGGTACGACCTACTATACCAATTCGTTCGTTGGGCTCGACATCAAAGCTTATCCCACGGAGAACCAATGGGTGATTGGGTGCGTAGCCCACTGATAGATTTTCGACTTGCAGATGGCCTTTGGACGGCCATGCAGCCGGGGCATCTTGGCCATCGTATCGTTCTGTCTTGATGTCAGAGTACTCCAACACTCTCTCCACGCAATTCATGTCCAAGTCGAACATGACGTACATTCTGATCGCCATGGCAAGCGCTGCGCTCAGCTGAATGATAAAGCTGATCGCGAAACCGGCTGATGACGCTTTCAGGTCTTGCAGGATAGTGAATGTCATTGCCGCTGCAGTCGTAAACAGAGCGCCGCTGAAGTTGATACGGAGATTAAGCCAATGATTCAAGAGGCAAAGATTCCAGTAGACACGAGCATGTCGATCGATCAGTCCATGCATTCTGTCGACGAATGAATCAACCCTTTTATAGGAACGGATCGTCCAGAGCCCGCTAAGTGAAGAAGCAAGCAGCTCATAAATAGGGCTTCGGCTTATACTTTCGAGTCGCTTCAATTGTCGTGCTGCGGCCAGATATTGGCGGGCGTACCAGCTGCAAACCCACGCTACAATTCCAGAGAAAATGATGATGACAGGACTGACTAATATTCCGGCAATGACAGCGCCTAGTGCTTGCATGCCCTCGCCTAACAGAAGCGTTATATCGAACCCCAGACGCGAGTCAATCATGTTGAAATCTGCCGTAAATCGGTTCAAGATACGGCCTAACGGCACGGTGTCCTGCCAATGAAGTGGTGCTCGGAAGACGGCGTGCAATACTTGGCTGAAAA